ACGGAGGATGCGGTCTAATTTACTAGTTTCTCTTGTGTGTCTGGTAAATAACGCACACGTGTCCGTTTCTAGCTCTAACATCCTTACTAAATTGTGCGATCATACTGCATTTTGAGACATTTCGACTGGTTCTAGAATGCACCGTTATTCGAATTTTAGATTGGTATCTGCTGATCTGACAAAGTTTCATTTTCAATTTCAATTATCTGACAGTTCAAAGTAACACATACGAGCTTCACAAGCCAGAATGATATGAGCTGGTTACAATTAATTACACAGAATTTAGGCTATGCAGTGACCCAGCAAATGAATTCACGATATTGTCTCGCGAAACACCGCAATTCTCCGACGCTCAGAGCAGGAAAGTCAGAGACGCTTGTTTTCGGTAACTAAATTTGAAAATGTGATAATGAAAGTACTGCGAAGTGACTACATGTAAATCCATGCCACTCTTTATTGTGAGAAAAGAGGCATGGAAATGTCTATAAATAGCTGTGTAAATAACGTCATAGATGAAAAACGTCATGAGCATTGTGACGTCATGGTATTGTCCTATCATTCACAGTACTGATAAGACGTGTATTATAAGTTTCCTTGTGCTTACATAACTATTTCAAGATTTTATCAACGAAAAACAAGATTCAAGATAACTATTTAGAATATAGGTACGTATTTTCAAAAACACAGAAATAATCTTTTATTTCAAAATAACGTCGTTCAAATATAAATATGGGAGCAGGGTCGGAATTTGCAATTGGCATAACAGGCCATTGGCCAGGCGAGACGGGTAGGCCTTTATGTAGGGCCAACTGAGACTAATTTGTCGCACAGCGTGTCAGCTTATAACCGTGTTTCAAGTGTACACTGGTGAGTTTGGCCTAGGGTTCACAAGTAGGCAAAAGTCTGATTAATTAACTTGATTTTACAACAAGCGTATCTTGTTATAGAATATCAGAGGGTTGGGGTGAAATGTTGTGGAATGCCAATTCAAAGTGCAAGACATTAGATCAGAATGTTGTTGGTTTTGTGAGAAATCGTGGCTGGCAGGTCTTTACTTAGTATATTTTATTGTATTTCAGTATGAATCCGTTACAGATAAGTAAGACGGGTGGGACGAGATCAGATGATAAGGGTGATTGCATTCCTGAATCTAGAAGTTCAAGAAGCCGTCGACCAACACCCAAAACATCCAAATCGATGGCTGGTTAGTTATCTTTTATTTATCATACACATATTCTTTCGTTGATCAAAATGCCATTCATAAGATAGTAGATTGTAGCATTAAAATAATACGAAATTAAATGGGGTTTAATTGGGATTAATTTATTAATAAGTATTTTAGATCTTCAACAATATAATAAGTAAAATTGTAAGACCAATTTTATCAGATATTCTTGAAATAAGAAAAGGCTTACCGGTCCTCTTGCTTGACGTGTCATTGGTTATGGCTGAATATAGGGTCAGTTGAAATTGGAACTTGTTTAGATATTAAAATTTAGAATTTTTAATTTTTTTCAGGATTAGAGAATTTGAAGTCTGAATCCGATTCCTACAACTCGGACAATGATATAGAACCAGGATTGAATATTAAGAACATCAAAGGTAAAATAATAAACTTTTTTTTACACCGGTTTAAATATACATGAATAAATTAAATGGTATTTAGCGTCCATCGTATACTTTTCTTAATAATGATTGATCATATGTTTTCTTATAAAGCTTATATTGTTCCTATACCTGTTTCAGTGCCGAGTCTACGCGATACACCTGAAAATGTTATTGAATACATTAAAGAAATAACTTCCATGAATAAAGCACTGATGATGAAAGTTAAATCGTTGAACGGGTAAGTTGGGGTTTTTTTTAAATTTGTATCATTTGCTAGTAAAACGTGGTTTTAGTATAATCATCCTTCCCATGCCAATAGTTGACTAATCAAGGCAAGACCGACAATATTCAAAGATTACCCAAGCCAGTTCCACCATATATTTTGGCTGAGCTGATAGTGTCTTTCTAAACTCCCGCAAGTTGTTAATTGACGGTATGATACCTTGGTTTGAAATCAAATGTGAAAATTGTAACAAATACTAAGCCCATCCCTACAAACATAACACATAACCGACTATGATTATTCTGATTATTGCCTTGGGACGATGACTGTTTCTGTTAGTATTAGGAGCTTGCTGGTAGTTCATATTAATAACATAAGTCATTTCTGGAAATCCCAAAGAATATCAAACATAATGTAAGAGAATTCTTTACATCAAACCTTTTATATATCCTGCAATCGATACTATGTACCGTAGCTTCAGAGTTAACTTCGATACAGATATATATCCATATCCTTCTTTTTTCTTCAGTTACGTACATGTACTTAATGCGAAAGAGGACTACAGCTTGAACAACGGCACTCACCTAAGAAAAACCGTCAAAGAGCTAACCGATGAATTAGAAAACTACAAGAGGTCCAGGCGTTTTAATGCTAATTCACTCAAATCTGGCCAAAAGTTCGACAAAACAGCAGCCGTCGACAGAAATGTTACCAAAGAAAACAAAAAGGTTACCAAAGAAAACTACGACATGAGGACTACTAAAACTATAAAGTCTACAGCCGCCAATACCCAGCTTACCAAAAATAGAGAACCAAAGAAAGCCAAGAATAAGAAAGCAGGTAGCATTGCGACCAGAACAGTCACGCAAAAACCGCACGAAACAAAGAAGCCAAAGGCTATGAATATTCCACAGAAACCATCTATAACCACCAACAGGAAATCAAAAGAACCGGCAGCACCAATCAATGCTAAATCCCAGAGTACCACAACGAAGAAGACACTAAAGGAATCAGTGGGGTCGCAGAATACCATCAAAATATCAAAATCGACTGAAAGTTCAAAGCAAGAAAGCGTTGATAATAAGATCTCGTTGGCGGATGCAAGTAATAACACAAAACTGACTGAACGCCCAAAGCAAGATAGCCTTGATAACAAGATCTCGTTGGCGGATATAAATAATGTCTCAGTTTCAAAAAAAAAATCATCCAGATATTCGTCGAGCTCCCCTGAAGATGTGACTGCCAGAACACGGACAACATCAAGCAACACCATACACACAGAATTTTCATCTCCACAAAGGTCGAAAGAATCTTTTTCTTTGTCTATTGAAGAAGAACTATCAATCTCAAAAAGCATATCGTCAAGAGTTTCATCAAGAGTTTCATCGAGCTCCCGTGAAGATGGGACTGTCAGAACACGAACAATATCAAGCAGCACCATAGACACAGAATTTTCATCTCTACGATCTTTAGATAGATCAAAAGAATCTCTGTCTACATCTATTGAAGAAGAACTATCAATCTATTCCTGCTCGTCCCCAGAAATGGACAAGCTAATGATACAAAAAGGTGGACAGAAGACTGATAAAGCAACAGCAGCGCATAGTACCTCCACGCCTGATGTTCCACATTCTATAAAGAAAATATCATCGGTAAACAGTAATCACACGGTAATCAAAAATATAAAGAGACAAGGATTAAAACTAACATCTTTGATTGAATACCCCAAGATTAATCAGGGAAGTTTAGCAACGCCACCAAAAATAAAATCATCATCATCAGCATTTGAAAGTCCACAGAAACGTTTCCAAATGGCTAAGAAAGTTGGCGCTGCTCCACTACCTAATTTAATGAAAGATCTACCATCATTACCTGGACGATTTATTCCTAAACCTCCAGCAAATCCACGACCAGATACCAAGAACATTAAACTACCATATTTACCATCTCAAACCAAATTTTATAAAAGACAGGATTAAATGTGGCATAGAACATTTTTAAAGAGTTATCTGTTTTTGAAAAAAATATATCTATAGCTGTTTATCAACAATTGTAAATACTGTAAATAATCAATTTTAATACTGTATGTTAGTGTTGTGATTATGTATTAGTAGCCTGTAATCAATGTTAGTATTGTGAGTATATGTTAGTCTCCTTTAATCAGTTTTTGTATTGTAATGTTAGTAGCCTGTAATCAATGTTAGTATTGTGAGCACATGTTAGTCTCTTGTAATTAATGAAATAAATGATATTTTACCAAGATTGATGCCCTGTTCTGTCCAAAGATTTAGTTGCGATTAAAGAGCTGACAGTTCTCGCTATAACAGTTTAAAGATAGATAATTAAAAATGAACATATTGAAAATTTCAGTCAAATTGCATCATTCTGAGCGAAGTTATGGCTGTTTGGAGAACAACTAGCAGAGTCTCGATTGTCATTGCTACCGTTGTTACGATAGTAACAAAGTCTCGATTATCTATTTTTAAATTAAATTATTAAACGATGATTTTTTTTTCAATCCTTTGAAAATTGTGAGCATCCAATGGTCTAGAGCGTTGACAATGGTCTAGAGAGTTGACAATGGTCTAGAGAGTTGACAATGGTCTAGAGAGTTGACAATGGCCTTCTCACCTTAATAATTAATAATATAACATCTGAGGCCAAAGAAAGAAAGACCTGCAATAGGCAGATTTAGCCTTTACATAATGTATCTTTAAAACAAAGATACACTACATGTTATGACAATAGAACAGTATTAGAACAGTATGCTTTAGTTGTATTTAATAATAAATAAAGATCACCTGGATGATCGAGATTGAAATGTTGTAAAGTGGGGATGCAGTGCCGGCAGTGGGATAATTCCTAATTTCTACACACTCATGTTGCGAACGCTCAAACGAACAGATTTCATGTTAAAAACATACGAATAGCGTACTTTGTTGTTCTGATACATGCGATATTTCTCTGTCAAATTACTAGGGCATTTTTTAAAGAATCTGAAAACATGGGTGGGTCCAGAAGGTGTCTCCTCCCGGGGACAAGAAAATTGAAAATTTCGAAATTTGCACTTTTTCCAGTAACTTTCCTTTTCATCGGAAAATGGTCAAAACACATAGAAACTGACTATTTTTATGTTATGTTGTATTTTGTACGATCAAATTGTTCTAAATCGTGTTTCAAGCATATTTTATTAGTTTATGTAGTTATCTAAATATATAAAATTATCAACTCTTTCTTTGTAACCAAATATCAACCTGGTCCCACAATCTCATAATTCAACATAGAATGATGTTTTGGAGGGATATTGAAATGGGCTCTGCCCGTTCGCCTGCCTGTCCTTCTGTTCGGATCTCACATATCTCATAAACTGTTCAAGATACTTTTTTGAGACGTTGTTCGTATGTCTACCTGTCCTTCCGTTCCCGGAACATATCTCATAAATCGGTCAAGATATCTTCTTGAAATGTTGTACACATAACAACCTATTATAGTTATGCTATTTGCTATGTCAGAATTTCTCTAATTTCATTTTTTTGTGTTTCCTGTTAAACAAATTTGACTTAAGTTTGGTATACAAAATTTATTTTGGGTCAAACCTTTTGCTAATTATAAAATTTTCTTAAAGAAATTTGATTTAGTTTCTGGCATACAATTTCATTCCGGAACATATCTCATACATAAACAATTCAATATATCTGTATGAAACTTTGTAGTACACAGTTCAACCTATTATGGTTGAACCAAATTATTCCCATATGAAAGATATCATTATCAAACTTTATACTATCTCCTGTTGAATAATTCTACGGTACATCTCAGAAGCTATTCAAGATATATTTGTGAAACTTCCTAAAATTTTGTTTCAAATTGAACTCAGTTTATGTCCACTATAAGCATGTAGCATATGCCTGATATATATTTTGTATCCAGTATTTTGAACACATGTCCAAGACTGCGGGATGTTGTTGACAGAGTCTTCTTGTTCTGATTCTAATTGGTATTCGTCTCTGAGATGTCTACCTAAAAATACTTAAATAATATGGTCATGTTCTTCATACCTGTAATTATTCAATGACGAATATTGAGCAATTAATAATATCTACTTTATTATGCTCATGTTAAAAAACAACAGTTGACTTAAACCTGGCTCATATCCTTTCAATTGTAGAGTATCTCTGCTATCTTGCAATTGTACTTTTTTGCTGAAATGAACTGTGCAGGACTTGGGGAAGACAAAAATGATTCTATAATATCCCTGATGTCCACTTTCCTCTTCACAATTATTCTCAATTGATTTTCCTTAAAACCTTACAGTTTATTTTCAACTGTCCTTGTACTTGGAATTACTAAAATAAGATTTAAACTTGGAGTAAGCACTAACACTTATAACTGTATCTACTATTAGATATTCAACATCTTCATGTGGTTCAATACCGCACACTGTGGCTTCTTTATATAACCAACTGAAAAAATAAATGAAGAAATCATAGAGAGGCTTTTAAAATTATTATTCAAAGCAAAGAAAAATAGATCCTTGCACATTTCTACAATGACTGGCTCCAACCAGCCATGGATGCTACCTTGTGTCTATTACTGATTACTGTAAATGTGTAAAATGATTACCATGGAAAATCATGAATATGATCACAGCACTAATAGACCAGTAGCCCAGGGGGGTCAAACTAGCTGAAAAGTGTACCAATTTTCTCCTATATGGTATCAATGCATGCATGTCTGGTATCATTAGAAATGTAAGTCTGCCGGGTGTCTGGCAGTGGTCATTCATGATTTCTGTGGTGGTACTGAATAACTTCACAGTTTTAGGTGGTACAGATTTCAGCTAATCTAGCCTGGCTGTGGTCTCGAAATCAGATAATTCTTGTTAGGGATACTCCGCCACTACAAATGTCTGGCAATTACATAGCTCTGTCAGGGGTACCCCACCACTAGAAATTTCTGTCAGAGTGTTTTTGTAATACCTAAAGATGTACGGTACACTGCCGTATGATTTTTATGTGGTCACTTTTGAGCTAATCTAGCCTAATTGGAGGGCATGGTATTTTGGGCGTGGAATACCGACCCCACTACCAGATACCCGGCATATTTACATTCTGATGATACCAGACATGCATGCATTGATACCATATAGGAGAAAATTGGTACACTTTTCAGCTAGGTTGACCCCCTGGGCTCATGCTCTATAAAGGATTGACAGATGCATTTCCAGAATAATATGTTAGGCCATGTAAAATTGATACCATGTTTCTTCTCCCCATTCTCAGGGTAAACCTAAGAGTGTGTGCTGTAAACACAAAACAAACTGTTATTTTAAACACAAACTATTGGAAGGCCTTTACACTGAATTATTTTATATTTTTATTTTGTGTTGAGAAGCTGTGTAAGCGATTTTCGTGTCCCAATTCCTAAACGTGTAGGCGAGAAGAAACAAGCGATCAATTTTACATGGCCTAAATAGCTCTCTGAAATTCCCTGAGTAACTAAGAAGTGATATCAGATATTTTAGAAAGACTAAGCATCAATAGATCAAAAGTTGGAACAATGCTAATGTTTACCTCAAGTGGGGACCTCCATTGGGGATTTTAAACTTCTTCTTTAGTTGACCTGTTGCCTGTATTAATCTGTGCTGTATTTCATGTCTTAATTGTAATAAACCTCTTCCACTTGTCGCTGATATAAAAATACTGCTGGTCTCTTCCATACTAATATCACTAGTAGAAAATAAAATATATGACTTAAAGATAGGAGACAAAATTCAAAAGATCTATCTTGTTACAAACTACAAGAGTATTATATTTACCAAGAACATAGATCTATTTTATTATAAACTTTATAGTATTATATTTACCAAGAACACAGATCTATTTACTATAAACTTTATAGTATTATATTTACCAAGAACACAGATCTATTTACTATAAACTTTATAGTATTATATTTACCAAGAACACAGATCTACTTTATTATAAATTATATAGTATTATATTTAACAAGAACATAGATCCATTTTATTACTAACTTCTACATATAACACAGGTTGATATTATTACAAACTTCTATAGTGTTATATTTACCTAGACCACAGGTCGATTTTATTACAAACTTCTATAATATTTGGTAATTTATCAGCAGGTAACATAGTAGATAAAGTTTGTAGAACATTCTGTTTTTGATTTTCTGTATCAGGATGACTTATGTCTCTTACATGTATAATTACATCCTGAAATTTAACATGGTAAACATTTTTTAAAAGTATTAAACTCTAAATAGTAATCTTAACTTTATTTCTTTTAGATACACAAGCATTTTATATAGACATATATTGTTATCAAGCCAGTCCATCTGCCTGCTGACTATTATTTCACAATCATATTTTTCAGATTTATTTTTAAACTACTATATTTTCAGATTTTTTTGGATTTAGATTATTTTCATTTCCTGGCATTGCTATGCTTTGTTTTTAATTGAATAAGGAAGACACCCGTCTAAAGTACACACATATGCTGGAGGCAGTTGTCCCCTGGACAGCGGTGGCAACAAGTCGTGAGACTCAAGTCTGAGTCAAGTCACGAGTCGCAGCACCTCGAGTCCACGTTGAGTCCCTAGGCACTGACTTTAGTACTGAGTCCCAAATCTTCACAAAGCTCAACTCCAGTTCAAGTCACTAGTTCATCAAATGAGTCAGCAATTATGGCGAATAGAATTATGTTCCCTTTCCGTGAGTCTTTAGCTCTTTCAAGCCACGAGTTGTCGGGACTGCCAAGTCCCACTCCAGTCTCAGGGAGCAATAAATATTTCAAGTCGAGTCGCAAGTCAGGTCTTTGATATGACTAAACTTACTAAAGTCAGATCCGCGGTAGTTATCCTGCTTTCCTATTAGTAGTACATATCTTCAGTGAATAGATATTTTATAGAAAATAGGGACAATGAGATATTCTACAAATATATGAGAGTAACTAGGACTGGTGAAAAAATTGTCATTTCGCAATACAAAATCTGGTGTATCAAATTTATTTTGATTGCAATAAGACTTTGTGTAAATTATGATGAGTTCAGACATTTATTGAAATTTGCTCTTTTACACTCACCATCAGACATTCTTATTCCAAAATTTTATCAGCAAAATTCTACAATTATATGCCAAATTGTTTCTTTGAAAAATAGGAATTTTCTCCTGAAAACATATTTTAATTGCAATACATATCTCAATACACTTAGCTGAATGGTAATATTGTTGCAATATATTTTGGGCCACAATACACTGCCCTATTATGAATACTTACAGCAATAACAGCATATGAATACTTACAGCAATAACAGCATCCTCCAGTGTAGCTGAGAATGCATCTATTAGATTGATAGGAATATCAGAAATAAAACCAACCGTATCCATGAACAAAGCTGTCATATTATTGGGTAATTTACCAGCATGAGCTGTAACATCTAATGTTGCAAATAAATAATCTTTTGGTTCAAGCTTGCTATCCCCTGTTAATGCCTTTATAAGAGTTGTCTTTCCTAAAAAGATATGTACACAATAAGGAAAAGAAACTGGGTTTAACATCCTACTTTTCTGCTCCATCTGGGCTAGTGAAGACATGCATACACCATGAAGTGGGTTATGAGGGGAATTCTGCCCGGACAGCAACACTGCAGCCTACTCTTATTTTGAATTTCAATTGGCAAGGGTTCTTCTACTTGCACACCAATTTTTACATGGAAAACACCCCAGAAAATCCTCAGTAATTTTCTTGACCAACACCAGGATGGAACCCAGGACCTCCATGCCAACAAGGCAGCACATCACTCACCGAACAGCTTATGAAAAGCATGTTCAGTATTTGAGAGACTAACATAAGGTAATTCATGGTTATGTCAGTGTAGTGTAAGGTAAATCATTGTAACATGTTAGTAATATTTACCTGCATTTGTATAGCCAACAACAGCAATGGATGGTATTTTTCGCTTTAAACGTTCTTTTCTCAACAAACTTCGTTGATTCTCTAACTTTGACAATGCTTTGCGTAATTTCATTTCTCTTTCCTACAATAAATAAACTATTATATTTTTTACAGTTAGGTATGTAGCGCTTCCAGATTTAAAGATTATGTTAAATGCTTTTATCATTATTTCTAACAGTGTCTGATATACATGAATACTGAATAGAATGAAATCAACAATAAGAAGATGCTATCACTTATATTCAAGATGATAGGTATTCAAAACAAACCATAACAATGACTTTGGATTTTACCATATACCTAGAAACTGACCTACAGGTATTAATGACACCCAAGTAGCTTTTACTGTTAAAACCAGCAGTTGCCAGGCAAGATACGCCCACATTTTGCAAGAGATGGATAGAGAACAAGCTAAAACCACCAAAGCATTTTTTCGTACAATCAGGGGTCATAATCCAAAGAGTTATGGTCTGAAATGCACAAATATAGAAAGGGACAAAGATCTTTGAGATAAAAAGATATATTTTAAGTTTCATCAAAATCGGATAAAAATTGTGACCTCTAGAGGGTCCACAACCTTCGTCTTACATACTTTTACTCAATTTTGTCATGCAGTTTCGTTTCGATTTTCCCAAAATTCAAATTCAACCTTCGTTATGTTGGAATGGTGATATATTTAAACAGTTTTTAAAATCGGATAAAAATAGTGACCTCTTAGAGAATGTATACGCTAAAAAAACATGATTTTTCGTGCAATCAGGGGCCATAATTCAGAAAGTTTAAAGTCTGATATACACGAATCTCGAAAGAAACCAAGATCTTTGGGTTATACACATACATTTCAAGTTTCATCAAAATCGAATCAAAATTGTGGCCTTTAGAGGGTCCACAACCATGACATACCATATTTTTGCACTATTTGCGTACGAGGGATGGTCATTTTGTCTGGCAGTTTTGGTCCGATTTTCACGAAATTCGAACAACCATCATTAGGGTGTAATGGTGATATATTCAAACAATTTTATTGGATAACCAGCGGCTGCCAGGCAGGATATGCCCAAATTTTTCAAGAGATGGATAGAGAACTATAAACAAATCTTTACTCAATGAAGTTTAATATCAAACTGACTGCCTTGTACATAGATACAATGTTACAAACAATAAGACTAAACAATGTTCACCCAAACTAAGTTCAAACAATTCAGTTCACTGATTACTAGTTAATGTATATCATGTACCCCCCCGGATTTTGTATGATTTTGAACATCAAAAATCATATTTAAAAAACATAAAGTATTGTTCACTTCACAACATGTCCTTATTTCTTGCATTTTCTAATTTAAGTTCACCATTTGTATATGTCACTAAATTGTCCATATTAAATGCCACACGTAATCTGTTGAATGTGATTATTTCGCCAATATCTGGATTATCCCTACATTCTTTGGTTAAAATATCAGCCACCATATCTTTATCACCATCTAACCAACTAAATGATTCAACAGATCCATCAATGAGCTTCTCTTTCAAACCTCTAATACTGTTTCTTAATAACTTCCTCTCTACTTGTCTGCTACTAGCTATCGACTCTAGTGTTGGCTTGGAATCTGTATAAATCTTCACAGAAATATCACCATTTATATGACCAAACAACAACTGTTCTAATTGCTCTGCTAAATATTTGGAATCATCAACCAATTTTACCATACTTCTAGTCTCAGCATCTTTAGCAGAATGACACACCTGTGGAATGGTTTTACTCTTCCAATATAATGGTAATACAGCATGGTTCTTTTTATTACCTAATAAGATAATACTGCCACTGATTGACTTATCATCACTTTTATAAGATGCATCACCAATACCAAATACTTTCAAATCTTCTTTTCTACCAATTCTTGTAAACTTCACTGTACTTTCTTTACTCTTTATTCTCTTAACCACATGATTTATTTTCTTCAAATCTCCAATGGTTGCGGAATTATTTTTCTTAGCCATTAATAATGCCGTAATTGCTAAATCAGGCCTTGTGTTTTCAGCAAGCCAATTTATTTTCCCTGTATATTTTCGGTAAATTTTAGTTTCTGTCTTTGTTAATGGTTCATCTTTCTTTGCTTTCCTCACCTCAGTAATTTCTTCAAGACTATCAGCATAAGCGTGCATAGATAAAGTTATTCCATATTGATCTTTCTTTACATCAATTCCGGTAAATCTAAATACATTATCTTCAATTTTGGATATAGTTAAATTTTGTTTTATCTTCTGGGTAGTTTCAGTTATAAAATCTGTCGTTCCAGCTATTGAAAAATCATCTACATGTGTTAAAATCATTCCAATCAACTTTCCACCTTCATGCTTGTAATAAAATGCTTCATCTCCACTGACTGTTTTCATTCCACTTTCCTCTAAAATTTGCTTTACTCTCAACCAAAATTTTCTACTCGCATCATCTAATCCATACAAAGGCTTCTTTAACCCATAAGTGCAAGGCTACGGCCTACGCCGTAGAGTAAACAAAGGCTGAAATTGCATGGCTACGGAATTTCCCGTATCGTTTTTAACAGTTTTAATTTACTGCGCTAAAGGTGGTTCCACGGGAAATTCCCTTGTGACGTCATTGTCTAAATCCAGCATGGCCGTCCTGGCAATGTTTTGAGTAAAATTTCTGTAACTTTTCGCAAATTTTCGCCGATTTAAGACATGATTTGTACAGGATTCCATTCATAGTTGCCAAGAAATACTGTGTGAGTTGGATTACGCTACACAGCGTGTATTTTTGTGGGTTTTTTTTTTTTAATGCAAAATAGCTTCTTTTTGTCCAGTTTTTTGCTTCACATAGAAATCGTAGATATTTGTGCTGCAGTTCAGTGTGTTTGATCATAATCTATGGTTTGATGAGTGTACAAAATGTATAACAGCAGCAGTAGTGACTCGGATGATGATGTCACCTGTCTAACCTCGTGGGTTTTCTTCAGGTCCTCCAGTTTCCTCCCACTGCTGTTGTAAAGTTATTTTATATTTTCAAAAAAAAAATGTCTGTATTGTGTAACGAAGAGATGCCTCTGAAAGCAGCATACTTCATTTCTAACATTCTACATCAATAAATATTTTTTATTGCACTCTGAAGTGGGGACTTTTTTTTTTTTTCCTGATTTCAAGTTGTAAATTCTACCCCCACCTACATTCATGTAAAAATTATTTCCCTTATTTTCTTTACAGATTCAGAAAGCCCTTTTTATACTCTTTCTAAATATATATACTTTGTAGGGTTTGTCATTGTCAGAAAATACTTTTTTCCTCATTTTTTTATTTGGCACCAATTTCCGTTGCAATGCCAGGAATTAGGCTTATGCACGAAAGGGGTTTGGGAACAAAAAATGATTATGCACTTATGGGTTAACTTCCACAAGGACCCAGGTTTTGCAATATCTTTTGGTGGATCAACAAATACCTCCCTGTTGAGTACTTTAGACTGTAAAAATGCTGCTCTGATATCTATCGATCTTAAATGAAATTCTTCGTTAGCTGCTAAAGCCATGAATGTTTTAAAGCTTTCTCTGAGAGCTGTGGGTGAATCACTTTGGGGCTTTTCTTCTTCCTGAAATCCTCTAGCTACCAATCTTGCTTTATAATCACATTTCTGACCATCATGTTTTTCCTTCTTTGTAATTATCCATCGACTAGTTATTCTCTGCTGTCCAATATCTTCTACTTCTTCAAATGTCTCATAATCTGTTAGGTTCTTGATCTCCTTCACTTTAGCTTCTATAACTTCTGGGCTCTTGTGAAATTTAACCGGTACTTCTACTACATAATTAGTTATTTCTTCACTGAAACATTCTGCCTTTTCAACTGTCATCAAATAAATACCATTACTATCTGTCTCTAATTCTCTTGTTGTATCTCGTGAAAGTTCTTTTCTTCTGCTTCTTGTCATAATCTGATGTTCATTCTTGTTCACTGATGCCTCACTAGGTGTTGATTCTATTCTGACCTTAGACTTATTACTTCCTGCTTCAAGTTTACTGCTATCTTCATCTACTACTCTATACGGTTGAACCTTACAATCTGCAATCTTCTTCAGATCTCCATTTGCCCATAACCATACATCTCTTCCACGATGACAAAACACTTTAACAGGTCCATTCCAACTGACTCTATTCTGTTCTTGGTAAAAGACCAAATCACCTTCAATATATTTTGCATTATTAAAACTTCTATTTTGAGCCACTGCTGCCTTCATTAATTTGGTTCGATATTCACTCGTTCTGAAGTCTTCTGTAACTTTTTGGTGTCTTTCCATAATTTTCTGAACAGCTTCTTGATCAAAGAGAGATTCGGTTGCTAAGTCTCCAGAAGTAATTCCAGGAATCGTGACTGATTTTCCTGTTACCAATCTTAAAGGGTCATATCCTAAGACATTGACATTAGTGTTATGTGTCCATGCTGCCATATTTACTGCTTGGGTTAAAGTTATGGTCTTATCACTTTCCATCATCTTCTTCACTACTACATCAGCACTGTAATGGTTTCTTTCATTAATTCCATTACTCCAAGGTGAATATGTTGGTCCAAAATTGATGGTAAATCCACACTTTGTTGACAGCTCCAAAAACAAACTATTCTGGAATTGTGTTCCATTATCAGCCCAGAAACCTTTACTTGGAAAACCGAACCGCCAATTCCAGGTATTATTCACTGCTTCTATAACTGATTGTGCACTTTTATTCTTCATTACCATGCCTTGAATAAATCTTGTAAAAGAACAAACAGCCCATAAAACAAACTTATCTCCAAATTGCTTCAGATCTAGTGTTACAATTTGATTAAAATCAGTCACTTTCGGGAGAGTTACTCTTGGTTTACCCAGCGACTTCTTATACTTTTGACATATTCCACAGTTTTCAATTACTCTCTTTATTGCTGATCGAAGATCTTTATCTAATAAATTAGCGTTTCTATATGCAAATAACATATTCTCTTCTCCCTTGTGATTTGTTACTTCATGTATCCGTTTAACACTTTTATAATTCTTCACATCTGTGCTACCATTAATGAAGTATACAGTGTCTTCTGTTGTCCAATCACTACATGATTCTAATGGTATTACCAAATGACCTCCTTTTGTTTCTTCAAGTTGAATGGCATATGTCTCTCCCAAATCGATTGTCAGAATATTTGACGTGAAATCTTGTGTAGCTTTCCATTCCTTCAGAGTTTTCTTTCCACAAAGTAAAGGCACATTAGCATTTACAAGATAAATTGACAAATATTTATGAATATACTGTTCTGGTGACTTTTTCTGTTTTATCTTCAATGGTATGTCATATACTTCAGTGCTGGTATACTTTTCACTTGGACCAAATCTAAAGTTTTGGTTACGTCTTCTTACATTCAATTCTTCTTTACCAATATTATTCTTCTTTAAATAATTGTTAAACCATCTTTCATCTGCAAGACTCTCTGGTGCTCCACTATCTACAATCATAACATCAACATCATCATCAGGTTTAGTAAAATGGATCTTCACACTTTCATCTAATATTATATCCTCACTATCAATAAAGTCACAAATTTGAACGTTAGTTGTTTTCAAACTCTTCACTTCTTCTTCTAATTTCTTTATTCTCTCTTCTAGATTCATTCTCTCTTTACTCTGATATCTCTCTCTACTTATTGATCGATCATTTCTTTCCATTGAAAATCTTCTATTTGCTCCAAATCTTCTTCCTCTTGATACCGACTCTCTTCTTCGATATGTTCCTCCAGAATTTGATCTCCACCATCTGGGATTAGATGCTGACCGTTCAAATCTCCTAAAATCTGGTGTTCTCTTCCAATGTTCATATCTACTTCTATCTGAATTATTACTGGTCCAATAAGCCTTTTTCTCAGATATATCATCTCGTTGTCCTTCTATCTTCATCTCTCTGTATTTCGCTTTCTTCTAAATGTTCAATCTCACGCTCTATTTCACGTTTTTCACTTTCATTTAATTGACCAGCCTGGAAACATCTTTCAATAAACAAATGTCCCATGCAATAATTAAGTTTCTCTCTGATATTAAAGTTCTCCATTTCCGAAATCATACTTTCAAATTTCATCCAACTCCTTTCACCGCTTTCATCTTTATCAATCTTCAACTCAGTAATTTTACCAATCAAATATTTTGCCTTTTCTTTTCTCGTCTTAGCAAACTTTTCTTCTAATTCTTTCAGAATATTGGTAACTGTTCTTCCGCCACTAGTTTGTAGTTTCTCTATTACTGTTGTAGATACATATTCAACCAGTCCTTCTCTTTCTTTGTTCTTCTTTAAACTTTCTATCAGATCCCAATATTTGTTCAATTCGCTATCTCTGTTATTCTGACCCCATATTTTCACTTGCTCTTTGTATTGTTCAAACGTTTCCTTGGTCCATGTGGGAGGGAGTCTGGCTTTGGTAATCTGAGTGGTGCCTGATGAAATATTCTGTTGATTGTTTTCTACCAGTAATTCAACTATCTTCTGTTGACTAGTTATAAAATTTTCCATTATTTTACTTAAATTTGTGCTACTATCTCCATATTTCTCATCATTAACCTTACTTGCTTGGCCTGCTTTGAGTTGTTCTAATGCCAATTCAGCCCTTGCAGCTCTAAATGCCACCTCTTGTTCGTACATGTCTATAATCTTCTCTTTCTCAGCTTTCTTTTGTTTAGGTTTAATAGGGCATGTGTTATCGTCATTCAAAATATGACCTAATATCGGTCCACCACAAGTTTCACATACAAAATGTTCAAACTTTCCACTGTAGTCAATACTACCATATTGGTCTAAATTTTGAAGTTCATAAACCATATTTTCCACAGGCTTGTAATATTCAAAAATATCTCTAGTATTGGACATTATTAATTTTCTTTGAAGGCATTCAAGGGGGTTGGGGGTAGGTTGTGAATATATTTAAACACTCTTTCTTCGGTCCAACTGCTCCATTTTGTTTCATTACACAACTTCTTCAGACTTGTTCCAACTATTGTGGCTGTCAGAAAATACCATTTCCATATCAAAACTTCTGGCACTATGAATATTCCTGTTCCACTAAAAGGGTTGAATTCTATAGTCTCTCTTTATGTATAACAATTTCTGAACCTTTAAACTTCATATTATCATTTCACAATAAGTCCTGATCTGCACTCACACAGTCATATCCACAGCCCCACCCCATCCCTTGAAATGGGGGAAAAGTTTTAGAACATATTCAATCTAACTTAAATCCACATATAAAATACAACTTTCACAAGATAACTGAGTCTTGAACAACCACGCTCTGCTACCATATAAACAAATCTTTACTCAATGAAGTTTAATATCAAACTGACTGCCTTGTACATAGATACAATGTTACAAACAATAAGACTAAACAATGTTCACCCAAACTAAGTTCAAACAATTCAGTTCACTGATTACTAGTTAATGTATATCAAGATTAAGCTAAACAAAAAGCGATTTTTCATAACATCAAGGGCCATAATTCAGGAAGGTACAATCAGATATCAAAAGGAACCAAGATCTTTCGGTTATAAACATGTATTTCAAGTTTCATCAAAATCGGATCAAAATTGTGACCTCTAGAGGGCCCACAACCTTGATATACCATACTTTTATTTTGACAGGCAGCTTTGGTCTGATTTTCACAAAATTCAAATTCAACCGACCTTACGGTGTAACGGAGATATATTCAAATGTTTTTTTAAATCGGATAATAATTGTAACCTCTAGAGGACCACAAGCTAAAAATATGATTTTTCGTACAATCAGGGGCCATAATTCAGGATGTAACAATCCGATATGCGCAAATATCGAAAGGAAACAAGATATTTGGGTTATAAATATGCATATCAAGTTTCATCAAAATCAGATAAAAATTATGACCTCTAAAGTGTCCATAAGCTAAAAACGTGATTTTTCAAAAAATCAGGGGCCATAATCCATGAAGTTATGGTCCGATACATGTCAATATCAAAAGGAGATAGATCTATATTTCAAGTTTTGTCAAAATTGGATAAAAATTGTGACCTGTAGAGTGTCCACAAACAAATTGTGGACGGATGGTCGTCCAAATACACCCACATGAAAATGTGGGCGTATTAAAACTATTCATAATACCTGTAATATTAATCTACGTGAATGTAGATATGTTTGTCCAGCACCACCTGCTAACTGTGCACCTCCAACTTGTTGATCGTGCTGGCCATCTTGGAACTGATTCAAACGATTTCTGTTGATAAAACACAAAATACAAACCTTGTTTAATTAAAGTAGAACATCAGGCTTTAACATTGGCATGCTTAATGTGACATTTACATCACTTCTGAATTAGCAGCTTATTCAACTATAAAACTAACTGGCATCTGTAAGTCATTTAAGTAAACTTTTACAATCTATGTAAACTGTTTACGGCTGTGTAAATCTATATATTGTTTGCAATTCTGTAAAGTTTTTGTAAATGAATTCGTTTTTTTGAGTAAATAATCTACCTAAGAAAGGGTATTTCTGCTAAAGCAATCTGAAGTTTGGATTCTTTGGTTCTGGCATGATCTTTAAAAATTTGTAAAACTATGGTATACCTAGAAATGAAATAAAAATTACATATAAAAGCAGGTAAGAAATTTTTTTTTAACATTATCAAGAAAGTAACAGTTTTAACAGGTTAAATAATAGTAGTTATAAAATAAATATTATTATGTACAAATGCAGTTCATATTACGTCACAACTCCTTTGTTCATCAACACCCCGGGAAAAGTTCCTCAAGGTAGCCCCCCTTAAGGAAGACAGATTTTTCTGTTAAATATATTTTTTGTTCTTATATTGACTGTTTTGTTACTAACCTATCAAAGACCGGAACACCCCAGGCTTTTTGTAACATCTCTAACTGTTGTCTTGATAACATATCTATACTTAATAATACAGCACTAACATTTCTACTAGAACATATCATTGACGTTAATACTTTAAAAGTACCTGAACCAAATATATAGGCTGTTCCTGGTCTTTTTGCAGAAACTATTTTCTGGAAAAAAAATGCAAGGCGAGTTGGAAGTTGTTTACTGACAAAAAAATTATTTCAGAAATTAGAAACTACATACTAATTATACAAATGGTTAGCAATTTTATATGCCTAAAACTTCTAAATTTTTCGTTGTTGTGCAATTGCCAATTATTCTATATTATCTACCGATATTACGACCGACTCTTATTTTGAATTCCAACTGGCATAGCTTCTTTTATGTATATGTCATTGTCAACGTGTACATGAAACCTCAGTTTTTGGTCCCATGTAAATAACTAGACACTGTTAATTGCCAGGCCCTAAGTCCTACATCACTGATATGGGAAAACCACACCGTAAAATCCCAAGGAACTTTTTCAGCCAACAAGATGCAATCCAACATGTATGCTGTTATTTTATACCTTTGATTACTGCAATAAAAATTTAATAGTATTATGGTTACCGTTTTGTGACAACAATAAAACCAGTCTTACCTTTCCAACAACTCGCCACATTGGCAGTGTTTCAACCAAGGTACAAGTTTCTTTTAGTCTTAATTCTGCAGTAGACCACTTACTCCTTCTTGCTCCTGATTTAATATCTGAAAACAAAAGACAATTAAGAATTTTTGTTTGTAGCAGTGAAGTCTTTTTCTCTCAGTTTAACTCTAGAACCGTGAAATTCAAACTTCTATTTGCCTTCCAAATCGGACATTAACTTTAGCCTCTAGAGTGTCCCAGGCAATTGTGGACGCCGGACGGAAAGGGGGACAACAATATACGACCACATTTCAATGTAGGCGTATAAAAACATAAAAGCTTTAAAATTAAATGAAATTACCTGGTTGAATAACGAGAAGTTGATGACCAGCATCTGGAATCTGACAAATTTCCCTGATATAATTCTTGTATTTAGAATCATTTAATAGCTCACCTCCTTCATCTGAAAAATTGTATTAATTTGAAGACAAAGTAGATTATATACTGAATTACAAAAAAAATCTGTTTGCTTTTTACAAATCAATAAACTGATCTACGCAATGGAATTTGCAAAATCTACAAATCTGTCAATACTAAGACCTGAATGAACACTATATTAAATGCAAAGAGCTCTAGCCTCTAACATTAAAGAAAATTCAGTTATACTTTCAAGATTTTCATGGTACAAACTAATAAGAATTGCAGGCCAATCCTGGTATCCATCCATTTATTCACTGGATTTAATAGTTCTGATGAGGCTTATGCCATGTGGCTTTATGTGTGTAAAAGACTTGTGCATAAGGTATATTATTACTTACTTCCAGGTTCAATGTATATCTCACTGGAATGGTAGTATCTATTTGATAGCCATCTTAGTTTAGAAAAAGAAAGAAAGCCAAGTCCTCTAACTTTTCTGGACAAAACTCTAGACCACATATTTTTTTTTATCGCAGCTTCTTCATATCACAAAGTCTAAAACGAAATGAAATGAAATGGGGTTTAACGTCCTACTGTTCTGCTCCGACTGGGCTAATGAAGACAGGGAAACTTTCCCTGGACAGCAATGCTATAGCCTACTCTAATATCGAATTCCAACTGCCAAGGGATCTTTTACGTGCATGTCAATGTGTACACAGGACCTCTGTTTTCCATCCCATCCAAAGGACTATACATTGCATTGTTCCTTTGCCAGGACCTCTGTCCTGCACCACTGACAAGGCCGAAACGTGCTGGAAAATCCCGATGAACTCTCTCAGCCAATGCAGGGATCTTACTCACTTAGCCACCGTGGCTCCTCAAAGTCTAAAACATGAAACAGATTTAAATCAGCAGCAGAATCTGTGAAATGCCTTCCAAATTCCAAATCAAAGGCACCATCTACAATCCCATCCTAACAATGAATGTCAACAAAATACTTAAATAAAATGCATAAAATATCACTGAGTGTCCCGGTAGAACATTGATTGTATTGCCTATATAGTTATTTGCTGATCGTTATCTTGCCGGAAAGCAGTTTTATTCAAATTGACATTAAGTTCTTTCTATACAGAAAATCAAGTTCTCACTAGTTACATAAAGTGCGTATGGCTCTATTCTTTGGAACCTTAAAATAGACGAAAATGGACATGGTGATATTAATGTATATTCTATTTTAAAAAAAATTATATTCTATTTTAAAAAAAATTATATTCTATTTTTAAAAAATATATATTCTATTTTTAAAAAAATTATATTCTATTTTTAAAAAACTATATTCTATTTTTAAAAAATTTATATTCAATTTTTTAATCAACTATGTTCAGTGAATTATTTAAACAGTCCAAATTGAATAACAATCATTTACGCCTACAGGGGGTTGAATGGCTGAATGGTTAGCATGTGCGCTGTATCATACGGTTTGTCATTGAGCCAACTGGCGGGGTTTCGATTCTCCGGTTGTACGTTACAAGGAGTAGGATCGCCTGTCCAGCCTTGTGGGTTTTCTCCGGGTCCTCTGGTTTCCTCCCACTGCTTAAGACCCATACCCATACGCGCAAGCGATTTATTGAAATAATTATTGAACCATTCAACCCCGGCATGGGTTGGGGTTTAAGGTCCACTCGACACAAACTAGGTCATTTTGGGACTAACATATGGTTTAATTTTATTTCAATCCTGAGTTTTATGTCCCATCCGAACGGCACTATTCCTTGCCAGACCATCTGTTCTGCACCACCGAAAAGGGGGAAACTATGCTGGAAAATATCGGCCAATACCTGTCCACCATATCAAACTCCTACCGGGAGTGGGTGGGACTGCCTGGTATGACGGTGGATTTGAGTCAAAAGTCTGTGCTATGTTATTAGTGCTTTTACATCTCCAATGTTGCAATGCCAAATGTTGAATGTTACATGTAAATTGGACCAAGCCAAATGTAAAAAATCTTGTAATACTGACAATTACAAAGTTTTTTGTTCTGTGCATAAAGAATTAGCTCTATTACATCGTTTAAAATGACATCTCATACCTTTTGTCATTTAACATATTATTGCCATTTTTACGATTGATGATCACATGTAAATGCACACCCGTAATGAACTCGGACAATAATACTAATTCGCCCACCTTGACAATGAAATGTATCGCCCCCCCCCCCCCCGACAATGAAATGTAAATCACCCACCCCGACCGACAATGAAATGTAATACACCAACTCTGACAATGGTAGGTACGCAACGCACTCACACTGACAATGGTATGTAACCATTTTTCAAAGAATTGATTGAATTGCAGAATTCAGTAGGCCCGTCTTCATTAGCCAACTCGGAGCAGAACAGTAGGACGTTAAACCCAATTTCATTTCATTTTCCTACTTTTTTTCGTCAACCGGACTATTGAAGATAGGCATACGCTATGGAAAGGGCTCTGTTTTGTCTTTAGAGGTTTACCTTACTTTTGCTTTTAAAACCAACAAACAAGGGCGCTGACATATTGGTTTCTTACAAATTATAGCTCTTCCATTTATTTACCGTAACGAAATAAAAGTATCCTTGGTTGGTTATGGTTCAGATCCAGAAATCCAGAAATCCAGAAACCGCCAATACCCTGTCCCCGGTAAAAAAAAAAAAAACAAAAAACAAAAAACATCGCAACAGTCCACCCACTCTAAGTTTATCTACCACAAACATGGGTTGTCACTTGTCAGGCAACCCAACTAAGAAAATGACACTGTTACACTGTATTATCTCCAGTCACAATTTAGTGTTAACCTAAAATAAGTCTGCGGTAGGACTTTTGGTCGGAATATATGAATGAATGACTGTCGAAAAAAGTTTTCCTCGGGTGGACCAGACGGGTAATGTCGATAGAGAGAAATCAATTTCCCCAACAGACGATTTTATCCGTCAACAAATTACTTAACCTACGTTTTTACGACCAAATAATCTAACACTAGCAACTGTGTGATGCTGTATATGGCGTGGTTTCGATTCCCCAGTTGTACGTGCATGACAGGGAGTAGGGTCCCGAAATGACCTAGTTTGTGTCGAGTGGACGTTAAACCCTCCCTCTCTCTCTCTCTCTCTCTCTCTCTCTCTACATGGGCTAAATCATGGCTGGTATCCTTCAACCCACTAAAGACCGAAACACTAGCACTGACAACTAAACAAAATCCTATTTTACCTACCCTTACTCTAAATAGTGTTCCCGATGTCCAACATCACAAACATTTAGGCTTGACTTTTCAACAAAATTGCAAATGGAACAAATATATTAACGACATTATCGACAAAAACCCAACAAATCTGTCAGTTGTTTAAGATCTCTTAAATACAGACTTAACGTACCGTAAATCATTACAAACCATCTATACCTCCTTCATCCTACCTCATTTCGATTATTGTGACGTCATCTGGGACAACTGCACAGACCAACTAGCTAACAAATTCGAGCACCTACAACTGGATGCACGTGTAAGGTCCATATGTGGTGCTGTAAGGGATACCAGCCATAGACTGTTATATAAAGAAACCGGTTTTATTACGCTAAAAGGGGGACGCAGAAGACATAAACTCAAAAGCGCACATTATAATCTCTGAAACACCATGTTCCTGAAGCAACGACCGCGACGTAGTTAAGGCGAGATCAAGCCTTCTATTGAAGATGCTGAAACACATGCCTGCATGAATATAAATGTAAAACAAATATTTTCTATAATTCTTTCATAGCATCGTCAATTAGAGAATGGAACAAATTAAGTACAGACACAAAAAAATCACCATCTCTAAATATTTTCAATTCGAAACTTATGGTTCAAGATTCAACACCACCAAAACCAAAAACTTTTTCGTTTGGATCCCGCGCAAACCAAATCATTCATTCTTAACTGCTTCTCTCTTGCAGCAATCTAAACGGGCACAAATTTTTACGTCACATTTCTGACAATCCATGCTGTAAATGTGGTCATCGTTTTGAAGATACTGAACATTTTTTATTGAATTGCTCCTTATATTCAGATGCCCGAAATAATACAATAAATAATTTATCGACTATTTTCGAAACACTACTGTTTTATTGCACGGAATTGACGACGTGGAACACTCACTCAATATTTTTAAAACTGTCCACTCGTTTTTCGAAATCCCCAGACGGTTCAAGGGACAACTATAACCACTCATTGTAAATATATTTTCACTTGTACGTACATTACTTGCCAAATTCTAAAATGTAAATTCATTCCCGAGACAGCTATAAAACAATCACTGCAATCATACTTGCACGTGTACATTGATTATTTATCTCTAAAATGTAAATACATGTATCAGACTAATATATCTGACGGGGGGGGGGGGGGGGGTAATATAGGCTTTTTCTGTTCCCCAATGCCTATTCAGATACAAATCTGAATAAAAATATTGCTTATAAAAAAAAACCAAAAATAAAACTTTTTTTTTTAAATCGGATAAAAATTGTGACCTCGAGAGGGTCACAACCTTGATATACCATATTTTTACACTATTTGCGTACGACGGGCGGCCATTTTGTCCGGTAGTTTTGATCCGATTTTCACGAAATTCGAATTCAAGCGTCATCACAGTGTAACGGTGACATATTCGAACGGTTTTTTTTGTTTGTTTTTTTTTTAAATCGGATAATAATTGTGACCACAAACTAAAAATGCGATTTTTTCGTACAATCAGGGGCCATAATTCATGGCGTCTACTCGTCTGTACAGTGCAGTGTGGCGAAGGGCCTGTCAAGCAAAGGCGACTATAGTCGTTTGGATGTCAGAAAAAATGTAAAAGATCCCGTGAGAATTGGAAATCGAAGAAGACGGTGTAAACGCCGCTATCTGGTGAAAATTTCCCATATATACACTATTAAAAGAATAGTAAAATTACACTGTCGGATTTGTCAGATCACATGGTTTGTTAACTTCTATTTAAAGGCTCAATACCACTCTTGTTGTAACTGAATAATATGTCCCAATCTTTATTCTGGTCAACAAATTGTACTATTTTAGAATATTTCAATTAATTGATGATACAAATTTCATCTTAACACACCTTATGTAAAAATTTGGAAAATTCAACATAATGGTTTGAAACGTCTAACGTAAACCTTTTCAAATGAAACTTCGATTTAAAAATATTTTCGAACTCTCTGGACAAGTAAAATAGGATGTAATGGATAATTTACACAACAGGTAGGACACTTAAACATCTAGTACTTAGATAGAGATATTATTTATTTTCTGGAGCTTTCAAGCCAGCAAGAGTGTTATTGTCCCTTTAAAACGATGTAAATATGAACACAGGGCTTATGTAAGATTAAATCAAACGTAATGTAGAAATACAACCATATGTCAATTACAAAATGTGAGCTGTAACAGAAATGTCATTTGAAATATTATTTTTACAGCAAATTGTAAATTTACTGTCAAATAGTAGTCATATGGGTTATTTCCCCTTCGACCACATATCGAATTTGTGCAACATATTTACTGTTTTGTCAGTAAGTTTAGTCTATTTTAGAGAAGTAGGTTACTGAAAATGTGAATGGATCACCTAACTGACTAATGAAGAAGATAGTCATGCCATACATTGTGTTGTGTGGAACATTTTGCTTGGATAGTGTCATCCCACCGTTTTCCATTGTCTAATGTTGTTTTACATGCTCGGCTGAAAGGTCCCCAAACTTTCTGTGTTCGCCAGGATTGAAACCAGAACTACATAGCCAAGTGCCGTGAAGTGGGGACAGCCACATTCCCTTTAGTAATTTTACCTCGGCATGTACATCTACCCTAAAAAATGGTTAATTTACTTGCAGAAATATTGCCATTGTGATGAGGTATAATTACGTAAACTCTGTCAAATTGCTTTTTTGTACACTGTTATTTTACCAATTTATGTAAATTAACTTCATTATAATTTTACAAGCGCCCCATTTACCTTGGATATATAATAGCTAGAGGTAAAGTCACATTACAGACTGAAATAAAATGCAATGTTAAAATACAGTTATAATGATGGCAACATTTCTGCCAGCTTAAAAAGGGTAACAATACATAATAATTTTAACAGTGTAACACAATGCGTGATGGATGACCATCTTCATTATCCCGGACGTTAAACCCCATTTCATTTAATTTCCTAGGCAAGCCTAAACTTTCTGAGGCGCATAGATTATCGGCACGATTTAGACGTAATTTTGACATTCTAATTTTATATTACAAGGGCCGTCGCTTACATGCAGCTATGTCCTGCCTGGATAAAGTTTTTTGTGGCTAGGGCAAAACAAATACATTGAAAATTCTTTGCGGGTATATAATGAACATGAAATTGTGGAATTTTGATTCGCCACTTTTCCAAATAAATTTGCTCTAGAAATGATTCGAAAGTGGGACTGAAAACCGTGTCAGTGAAATGAGGCCCATAGTACTGGTAATTGGTCGTAATAATAATGGGTATGTATAATTTATAAAGAAGAAGTAAAAATATAAATGTTTTATTCATACGATTATACAAAGAGAATTTGATACAAATAAACCCTTCTATAAAATAAAACGTCTATGTACATTCGGTTATCTAACCTAATTTTAAAGATATTTAGAATGATGAATACACTTGCCCCTTCGATGTTCACAATTAGATATTTCTCGCAATTTTATGAACAGGGCTATTGAGACACATTTTAAAACAATACACATAATACGGCCAATTTCATTCGCTTTTTCTTGTAATGTTTTTGGCTTGTTTATACTTATTTCACCGACTTACTACAATTTCCATCGAAACATGAAATAAAAAGAAACTGTTTATAAAAAATAAGGCGGTTTATGTTAGCACTGCTTGTATTTAGTAACCTTTTATCAGTTCAACACTTTGATCGACTTTCTTTTGTCAAATTTTGTTCACTTTTTACTCCGATCCTATGCAGGTGGAATAGGTGGCCCATATTCAGGAGGCGGAGGTTGGTGCAAGGAGTGTGGACCGTTATGTGGTGGGCCTCCTGGTGGTACAGGGTGATATCTGTTGAGTCTTTCTTCACTCGTACTTCCACGACTAGACTGATGAATTGGCACGCCATGGGGAGGATATAGCGTTTCTTGACGCTTAAATCGGAACAGCGGTTGAGGTGGATCTAGATCGTATGGTGGAAGAGGAGGCGGCGGTCCGTTAATAGGCGGCGGAAGTGGACCAAGATGTGGGGGTCGGGGGTGACCGTAAGGAGGAGGGTGAGGTGGTTGTCCATGAGGAGGGGGTGGGGGAGGAGGTCCGTAAGCAAACGAAGGAGGGGGGCCGTGTCTTTTACGTCTCCTTTGGGGTACAGCGTATGGGAGAAGGGGGCCCGGCCTACGAGGTGGGGGCCGCTTTGGGGGTGGAGGCCGTTTACCCTTCGGGGGAGGTGGAGGACGTTTACCCTTTGGGGGAGGTGGAGGTCGTTTACCTTTCGGGGGAGGTGGAGGCCGTTTACCTTTTGGTGGAGGTGGCGGCGGTTTGCCTTTGGGGGGAGGTGGAGGCCGTTTACCTTTTGGTGGAGGTGGCGGCGGTTTGCCTTTGGGTGGAGGTGGAGGGGGTTTACCTTTTGGAGGCGGTGGGGGCGGTTTACCCTTTGGTGGAGGTGGGGGACGTTTACCTTTTGGTGGAGGTGGTGGTGGTCGTGGACGAGGTGGAAGAGGTGCATAGGGTGGTATTGGACGTGGCGGTGGACGCTTTCCACGAGGAGGTGGTGGTGGTGGTCGTTTTCCTGGTGGACGCTTTCCACGAGGAGGCGGTGGTGGTGGTCGTTTTCCTGGTGAGGGAAGCTTGGGAAGTCCTGGTGGAGGTGGAGGCGGTCGCTTACCGGGTGGAGGTGGAGGTGGCCGTTTACCAGGTGGAGGTGGAGGTGGCCGTTTACCGGGTGCGCGAGGTGGTGGCGGTGGTCGTCGTTTACCTGGTGGGCGAGGAGGTGGCGGTGGTCGTTTACCTGGTCTTGGGGGTGGCGGAGGGGGGCGTTTACCTGGTGATGGCGGAGGTGGGGGTAGGCGTGGGGGTGCTCCAGGTGGTTGTCTTTTTCCCGGTGGTGGTATCCTTGGAGGTCGTGGCATTCCTGGTGGGGGTGGAGGTGGTCGTTTGCCAGGCGGTGGAGGTGGTCGTTTGCCAGGCGGTGGAGGTGGTCGTTTGCCAGGCGGTGGGGGTGGTGGAGGACGGGGATTGGGTGCACCGCCCCCTCCAGCATCTCCCTCGCCGCTACCAATGGAACCTCCTCCTCCTCCGCCACCTCCATCATGAAGATAATCATAATAGTAGTAATAATAATATCCGTCTGAAGAGGTAACTACTTCTTTTGGTGTTGTTGTTGAAGTAAGGAATCTCGTAGTTGTCGGAGATGGAGTTCTACTCGGTGGCGTAAAAGGAGAAATTTGTGGTGGACGTACAAACTTCGGCGGTGGAGAGAATGGAGATTTTATCGGTGGAGTAAATGGAGATTTACTAACAATAAAAGTTGGCGTGGCTTTAATGTTCGTTGTTTTATTCTTGGCTGAAGATTTATTATGCGAACCTTTGGAATGTCTATCAATTTTGGGAACATTAGCATGCAGATCAATAGTATGGTAATGTTTGCCATGAGAATGGTGTCTATATTTTATAGGCGATGGTGGTGATGGGTGGCCATCTGGATCAGGCAATGGATTGGCGTGTGAAAATTTTGGAACTAGGCGTCCATGGAAAGATGGCGAATGGCGATGGTTGAAAGGGGGCAAAGAATGTGAAGGTGCGTCATGTGCCGGATATATCGGGTGACCATACGGACCGTCCCTCTTCTGTCGATGTACATTTCCAGTTACCTTACCTATAAAATAAACAAAAAAAGGATCTGGCTAAATGTTTAAGAACAATAAAAGCACGATAAAGATGTCAGTATATGTCCTCGCTATTTAGCCGAGACGTCTTAGTTTGTTTTTTTTTTACAATTTGGTTTTAAAACTTTGGGATGGAGATAACTTGTCTAAGTTACAGAATGACAATAGCCTATCAACCAACGTAGATTAACATTATATCTTGGCTATATCTGACGTTTGATCGGGTGTGCTTTATTTGTTAAAGAATTGTTACAATAATTGTAAATGGCACTGAAATGAAGCCAATACTTCCTTAAAATGTTCAGTTTCGAAGAACAATATTACTTAATATATTGTTCTTTGAAACTGAACATTTTAAGAAAGTATTTGCTTCATTTCACATACGCCTAGAAAATGTTATAATTTATACAGGTGAGTTTTATAATATGCGCAAAAATCCTCTAATATAATTTGTGCGACACGGGGATAATAAGAGTGATGTAGGATTTTTTTTGTCGGAAAGTATAGTAGCATGAACCAAAATAGAAACGATTTACCTTGTCAATTTAGCGTAAAAGTTTAATGGCCGTTAGAGAAATTTTACCCTCATAGAGAGAAAGAAAGGATTGCATGACAGCTAAGCTTGCCGTCGGAAATTTGACTTCAACCAAAATACCCAACAGATGAACAATCCGACTCAAAAAAAATTAGGATGTCTTTCGCCAAGCTCGACTTGACATACATATTAAGATTCAAAGCTGTAAAGGATGCACTTTTTTGGCCTAAACTAACTATCAATAAGTAAGTCAAACAAACAACCGCAAGTTCACCGGAAGGTATATAATAATTGGGACGCTTTCGAAAATAAAATGTATGCATATATGAATATTGCATCAATATTGGATAAGTTGTCCCTATTATTACAAGCATAACAATCCATTGGACATGGAGATGCCAATAATATGTCAAATTCTTATGTTTGGCGGTGACAGACGCTATCTATAGCAACGGCAGTGGCCAATAGTTTGGTGCTATGTAGGCACAATGACAATGCCAACAGATATAACATAAATGATTAAATGGAATTTTGGAAATATTATTTTCATACATTTACTTGCGAAATAGCTATAATAATTGACGAGCAGAAGACCCTTTTCTCTTGGTATATATTATTAAGAAAGTAATTAGTATTCTAAAACAGATTTAGTCCCCTCAAATATTAAAGAAAATTTAGTTAAGTGAATTAAATACCAGTGTACGACAGTTATGTATTATGTTTATAAAATTTAAAGACTTACAAAATGTACAGATTATATTTCAATTTTATAAAATATAAATACCCAACTTACCATAACTGTGAAATAATATCACAAACAGTGATATATAAATTATAGAATACTTCATCCTTATATCTGCATCATTGTCATAATCGTACAAGTCACAACCGTAAAACTAACACGTTAGATTGTGTGACTATCGTTGCTTACAGAAATCCATATGTCTACCGTAAGCTCTGTGCACCTTTATATAAACCAAGCGTCATTACTTTTACAAAGTAAAACTATGTGACTTTCAGCCTTTAAAAATTTCTTTAATTTTTTAAAACTTTTATTCTATAAGCCGCCGTTCTTCGCCTCATTTGTTCGGCGTTTTTTTTCTGAGATATCAAAGATGTCGAAGTTGCATGCCGATTGGCTTGTTTTACCGCTAATCATTTGAAGAATTTTATATAATCGTTTTTCTCCTATTCTGTAGATGACAACTGTTTAAAAAAATTACGTGCAATGTCTATTTTTACATAAATTTAATCTAAAAAATGTTATGATTACAATTAAGCTTTCGCCTTAGTGCAGCAAGTCACTAAATACGTGGATATTTTAGTATTCGTGTACTTCGACGTAATCGTAATTATGTCTGCATATATGCAAAACCGAAAATCTCGGATGAGTTCGAATTTGATATAATTCGTCATTTAATCGCGGGACTGTTGCCCTCGTCAAAATACATTAGAATGATATTTTAACCATTTCGGGCCCAAATGGTTAAATTTTATAATTATTTCTTGTTTTATGATATTTTATAGATGATTTGGGTTTTGTTAGGATATCCCCAAAAAATATTTTTAAGTTTTATAAATTTTGCTGGAGCGGGTGGGGGTGGGACTTGAATGTCCCGATGGGCGGCAAAAGGGGAAATTATTTTCAATACAAAAAAGACGAAAAAGTTTAAATTATTCTTGAAATCTGTATTTTCATCATAACTTTAATCCACAACACTTAACAGACAATTCAAACAAAGAAAACTATATTTTTTCAACAATTTGAAACAATAATCCATAGTTAAATCCATTCAACTAAAAGCTTAATCAATTTTAACTTGAAATTCAAATGTATAGTTTATTTCCAACCACACCATGAAAATCTAGAAAACAATTTCTTGATTTATTACAGCATAAGAATACATTACACGTAACACATTTACTCTGAGGGCGAGATTTGATGTTTTTCTTAGAACAAACCTCACATCGACCAAGATTTTCTAAAAATATTTATCATTTCACAGACCAGTTTTAATTTAAAATCTCTTTGTCATGTTGTAAAAGGATAAATTCAGACATATTAATCAATTCGCAAAAGGAAAGTCACATTAATTGGAAAAAAACGCATTGGTACTTCGGAGTCACTGGACCAATATGGGTGTACAATCTGCCTGACGGGACTGATACGTCCCACTGAAAAAATATATGACAGTAATTGCAAATATTGCCCATTTTTTATATAAACTTTATGAAAGGGTTTTGATTTGGATAAAGTGTCATGAAAAAAATTCACAACCATTTTACTTACTTAGAACTTTTTCTTTGTCTTCAAACATGCACAAAGATTTTCTTACAAAAAGATTACTGTGATTTTGTGTTTGACATTGAAATGCCACTCTACAATATTTTTTGCACTAAGACTGCACTACTTTAACCCGACCTTAGACCTACCTAAAACTGACTTATAATGAAATACTGACCATAATACACATATGCATTGCAACATTGTATTCATTTTATGATGGGACATGAGAGTCCCGTTGGGCCTGAAAGGGTTAAATTATTCCACTCCACACTGTTCCATAATGCAACTTATGTTATATCATCGAGACCTAAATGTGTCCGAATTTGAACCCAATCCTAATTATTTACCGTTAATTTCCTAACCATCTTCTAAAACATCATTGGTCTATTTTTTCATCGATTTTCATGATTGGTTCTGGTATGTTGCATTGATAGTATATGTGTTTTCGTTGGTCTAAATTTAAATTTGAAATATTTTGTGTTATTGACCTTGTTAGAAAATTAAACTGCCCCAAAAATGTCCCTTGTTCGGTTGTCACTCCGCCTCTTAACCACTTCAAAAACATAGTTTAAAATGTTCAACATAATTGAATATCTAAGTCATGCTTTGACAACAACGAAAACAAATAACAGCAAAATAGCATGTAAGTTGACGAGATCAAAAGATAATTATGCCATCTAATAAATTAGTGGTTACCTAACTCCATCTCCATAAACAAGTTTTTGGGGCTTTACAGATGTCACTTGACTGTTAAAGAAATAATAAAAATACATATTGTTTAGGTTCAAAACTCATGGAATAGTGTAGCCAAGCTATATAAAAGCATCTGTGGAATACAGAAAACGCTGTGCGATAATGTGTGTCTGACAATGTATGTGACGGGTGCTTTAATATGTCCTGTTTTGTGTGATAATTTGAGACAGGTACCCTATGTCCACAATACGTAAACTGTATTGTGTATTATGTCAGATTTAGATAAGAGCTGGCCGTTCTTGTTATAATAGTTCAAAAATAGATAATGCAAAATGAATATACTGAAAATTTTATTCAAATTACTTAATTACCGTTTGAAGTTTTGGCAAGATGTGGCATAGATGGTTTATTATCGTATCAAGGTAACCGAGACTCACCATTTTTAAATTAAATCATCAAATGGCGATCGTATTTCAATCCGTTTAAACTTCCACCATCCGATGGGTTAGAGAGTTGATTATTGGCTTGCCAACACCTGAAGCCAAAAGAATGACCTGCAATAGGCAAATTTTGCTTTTTAATTCTGGCATGTGGAGCTTTAAAAAACATGATGCTCAACTAATCCAGGGCAAATCTGCTTAACCCATGTGTCCTGAGTTTATAATTAAACTTTTTGGGTTTTTAACACGACTAGCTGTCCTCTGATACTGGAAATATCAGACTATTTCAACCTTCAACTGGTATAAAATCCTGATTCGGCTTCTTTCCAAGGTTATGTTTTTGCCCTTTCGAGAAATAAAGTTAGCTATACACGAAAGGATATTAATGAAATTAAGATGCAGATAATATATTTATGATATAAAACATTCTATTCGACAGGAAGCCGCGGTGGCTCAGTTAATAAGTTTCTGGCCAATTAACCTTGAGGTCCCGGGTTCGATCCTGGGGTTGTCCAAGTTCCTGGGAATTTCGATTGTAATTTCCCCAGTGTGGAGCGATACCCGTTGTACCGTGCATAAACACTAGCGTGCACGTAAACAAATGTTTGACAGAATTGCAAAGAAAAGTATAAGACGTATAGTGTCGCTGTCCGGTCACAATTTCCCTCTTAGCACCCCATTTCATTTCTTTTTTGACAGCATGTAAATACGTAATTATGGAAAAATGATAGAAAAGAAAATAATTATTTAGGCGTACATAACGTTCCTAATGACGTCTTTAAGTTGACTTGTCTATTGATATTCCTAGACACTACCATACCTCACATACAGCTTTGTTTACACAAATTACTGTTTGTTTTATATTTAAAATATGCGGTTAAGTCGCGGTTAAAGACAAGTTACTTAGGCTTGTCTAGAGATTTAACTGTAATATAATGAATAAATAGACCATCGAATAAAATTTTGAAGAAAAAATAGTAAAGGTGTTTTTATTTCAAACCATATTCAGTCCACTGATACCCACCACATGTCTCTCATCATGCTCATCTGTAAAGTCTATCTAAATTGACACAACATTGGGTAAGATTATCACAGATGAGCAGGGGCGCCGGAACCCGGGTACCAGGGTATACAAATGGTACCCTGCCCTTTTCTGGGGTATACATGTATACCCAGTGGGTATACATGTATACCCATGCCCTAATGATGAAAGTTTTCAACCTGTTTACTAGTCTATTCGTTAGTGAATAATCGGGCTTATGTCTCTTTCATTATCATGTATTTTAAAGGGTTTTATGTTGGAATTTGGAATGCTAAAGACGCTCTAAACAGCGTTCTCGGAATTGACAAATTTCAAAATTTTCTAGAGGCCGGGGGGAGAGACCCCCCCCCCCATCTTTTGGTACCCTGGCCCCCGCGCCGTTCCGGCGCCCCTGCAGATGAGGGCATTATAATTCAGCGGATCCCGACAAGAGCAGCTCACATAGGCGTACGAGCGAGCTGAGGGGGGGGGGGGTGCTGCGTGTGTGTGTGTGGCGGGGGGGGGGGGGTGTCAGATTTTGGGGAAATAGGTAAAATGAGATAAAAGACAAGAAAATGGGAATTTTAATTATTTTGTTTTTCTGTTGTCCACAAAATAGAGTGTCAGAATGACGATATCTCTGCCCTCATCAATTTTTCAGGAGTCGAAATTGGAATCTTCCCAATCGCTTTACTCGGAGGAGGGGGGGGGGGCGAATGGTTATCGCGTGCGGGTTGGCGGGTCAGGTCTGTCATTGCATGAGTCAAGTGGCGTGGTTTCCATTCCCCGCTCGTACGTGACAAGGAGTATGGTCTCATATGGGTTTTCCAGGGATCCACCGGTTCCTCCCTCTGCTAAAGAGCCCCACGGGCAATAGAATTATTGTAAATAAAACTGAACCATATGTTAGTCCCGAAATGACCTATATAGTTTATGTCGAGTGGACGTTACCCCACTCTCTCTCTCTCTGACTGTTGGAATTTATCATGTAATATTATGCCTTCATTCGGCTTTGTTATCCAAAATGAAATACACAACCCATCCGCTCCTCTCTCTGGAATTCTGGTGAACACATTGGGATTTCGGTTGCAAAGCCACATATATATATATAAGCAGAGGCGGGTTCAGGTATAAAAAGTTATTATTCGGTTTCTATACAGAGTGTAGGCTTGAATGTTATATTCGTATCCAGATATTATATGCGCCACAAATCACTATTATTATTATTAACGCCAAGATTTTTTGTCAAAAAATGCTACCACTGCATTCAACAGGGCCATGAGCAGTATGGAATACCGGTAGTTTTGTTTTTTTTCACTAGTTTCCGGCAATTCCTTGTGGGTTTGGTCACCAATCGTATCGGTTGAATTTGTCGGGTACATAGAGTTATAAATAGTGTTAAAGTGTAAATCTACGGTCGGGTATCAACAGGTGGAATACGGTAAAGGCTAACTAAGAACCATTGCAGATTTCGTCCGAGGTAGCTTACGTTCGCAGCGCCTCATTTGTTTGTGAAGGGAAGTAACTCTAACCCACGGGGAAGATTTTGTTTTGGCTTTCGAAGCGCAGAAAGACATTTGCTTTCTTTTTGTATCCAAAGTACTTTTAAGTAAGATATATTCATGTGTTTTCCGTGGTACCCATATTTTACGTGGTTGCACCACACGCGCTTGTTATTGACAGTGTTGCATCTGAGTTGTCTGGTTTATAAATATTTATACATACCGTAAAGACTCATCATAGCAATAATTATAAGTCTTATTAATATTGTAAATAATGATCTTCCTCCACCCGTTTTAGAACCAGTGCCAATATATAAATTATATTATAATAACAGAGGTTTCACAAATCACTGCAAAGACATGTTCTCTAGTGGTGTGATTGAGTGCTAGAGACAGATGAGTAGGTGGCTTCAACTAGCTAGTCCAGGATTGGACCAGAAGAGCCTTCAACAAGATATTATAAGGCCAGCTAGTTCACAGTGTTAACTGGTTGTTTGGATTGTACAAAATAACTGAGGTCCACCTTTGGAATGCACAGAAAAGTATGCGGAATTGCTGTCTTTGACAAAAGTCTCCACCTCGTATTGCAAACATAACCACTGCAACAAAAAATACTACCTGTGATGTAAACACGACTGGTTCTATTATTAGAGATTAGAAACTGTACAAATACTACATTAGTTAGGATAGGCTTACAATCTTTATAGTCTTTGTGCATATCCCACAGATTCTAAACACTTTCAATTTGTTATACTTCTGTTAGCCTACATGTTTTGAATTTGCACCATATAAGCTAATCTGTTTTGGGTATTTTAATATTTGCAGACTCCCAGTAGGTCCTTCATTGTCATTTTATCTCAATAGCGATTTGTTAATTAAAGAAAACCTTTTATACCATTCTTCCTAGTGATAAGGTCCCAATCAACAATTTTTTTGTTAACCATTATTTTCAGTTATATTACTTATATATTGCAGTTTAACTGAAGACTTTAGAAAAATGGCAGTGTACCGGTAATACACATATTTTGGTAATATGTTTTTTTGAGCGGCTGGGAATATACTGTTTTAAAATGAGTGGAGGCTTGGCACCAAGTAAAAGTACAGTTTATGTCTCTAACTTTCCATTTACACTGACCAATAATGATCTTCATAAAATATTTGAAAAGTATGGAAAGGTTGTGAAGTAAGTATTTTAGATTTGTTATAAATTTATGAGAAAAAAAGGGGAACTGAAGTAGTCCATTAGATTAGATGTGAATAAGTAAGTTCAGGCTGTTACTGTAAAGTTTTTACTGTCTTTTCTCTTTCAGAGTTACAATAGTAAAAGATAAAATAACACACCGAAGTAAAGGTGTTGCCTTTGTTCTATTTTTAGAAAGAGAATCAGCTCATCGAACAGTTGCTGCCTTAAATAACACAGAGGTAGTTATTTACTATATAGTCTGGCTTCAAATTGATCAAGTAGTCCCAGATATATTTTACTGGTTAAATCTGGGTGAGGGTGTTGGGTGGCTGCATGGTCTTAACGCATGTACTTAACATCATATGATCAATCCCCAGCTGGTAGGGTCTCTTGTACAACTTGCCTTAGTATAAGCTTTCCTTATTCAATTTTGTATTATTTAAGATAAGAAATGCTTCCAGTCAATGAATTTGGCACAGTTTATTATCTGCAAATGCTTTGGTTAACACTTCATTTCATACACATGACAAAGCAATCATACACTAATGTTATGAACGCTGCTTAACAATCAAACATTTTAAACTCAGTGAAGCTCATCTTTTAAATTTTTGGATACAGTTGTATTTTGTTTATTGACTACAGATTTATCAAAGGTATTATTGCGTTGCTTTTTTTCCAGATGTTTGGTCGAACTATAAAATGTAGTATAGCTAAAGATAACGGTAGAACCACTGAATTTATACGAAGAAAAGAATACAAAGATAAATCTCATTGTTACGAGTGTGGGGTAAATATTTGGTTTATTGTTTAGCACTGGACTGTCGACTAAAATGTCAAAGAGTTAAAATCTGATGGTTAGCCGAGAAGAACATTCAGCATTATTCATGCCCATCCTTCCCGTGTGATGTGGTATCTGCGAGGCTGAGAAGGAAGGTATCCCTGCCTGTGTTTTTGTTACCCCCCCCCCCCCCCAAAGCGATCGCCATGTTTGTTCTACAAATTGAAAACAAGTATGGTGGTTGTTTAGGGTGTTAACTTTTTTTTATTTAATTATTTCTGTAATTAATCAGAGTTCAGCTTTAATAAAAGCAACTTGAATTATAATTATATCTTCAATCAAGCACAGGGTTTTTTTTTCTTACTATTTTGAACAGTATGTGTTTAGTTATTGTGTCATTGCAGGAAGAAGGACATCTTAGTTATGCATGTCCTAAAAATTTATTAGGACAACGAGAACCCCCACCTAAAAAGAAGAAAAAATTCAGAGATTTTGAGTAAGTTTTTTGAATGTATCTCATTTCCCAGCAAATTCTTATTCTTTATCCCTTTTTTTTACCACCCCAATTTTTGTTCTTCTGGAACACCTATTAAAATGCTGCTTCTTACTTCTAAAGGACAAAAGGGCTTTTAGCTTTATGTTTTGAAATATTAAAACAAAATCATGGGACTCCAGTGACTAGTTATGTATCAAGACCAGAAGAACTTAATATTAATTTTATTTGGCCTTAGTGAAAAAATAATTCTATTTGTGTTCTTTTTTCCCCTTGGAGACTATTTTTAAACTAGTATATCTTTGTATGCATTATTATGTTGTCAATAGATGTTAATGCCTGTTTGTTTCATGTACTTAATTACCTTTGTATGTTTGTCAACAGAGAAAATGAAGAAGGTTATGATAGTAATGAGGATGTAGTTGAAGCTCCAGAAAGTTTAGCATCAGCCATTAAAAATGAGGTTGGTTAATTTGACGATTATTTTCGCAAGAAAACATCAACATATTTTGTGTACTAGACAATCAAATTTTGTAATATTTCTATTACAGCAGTTGAATATGGTGCCCGATACAAGTATTTATGCCAATGTGGGATTTTCATATCCGGAATCATCAGAACCAAAGAAAAAGAAATTTAAAAAAGATGCATATTTTAGTGACGAAGAAGAGTTGGACGATGACTGACTTAATAGTCAGTTTAAAAACAATATTATGCATTGTGATCTTGAATATTTTTGAGGCAATATCTGGAAACCATTGAATCTTGATATATTTACAAATGGATACATTTATTACCCATTATTGATCAGCAAGTCCATTACCGGTGTGCGATGTGACACTTGAAGACCCAAGAGAAGGGAATGAATCTACCTCAAGATAAGTCAGTGAAAGTGGCAAGTGAATTCGTTTACAAATGGATCTTCATTAATGATTGGGAAAGGACGGCTCATTATTTCAGTAGTCATTCGTTATGTACACGTATATGTCTATTTAAAGTACGACATGTTATTATTTACAAGCAAGAAAATTTTCATTCGTATTATATACACAGCAGCCAGCCTTTATTGGAAGTATAAAGCACAGTCTATATTAACTTCTGAATTAATATCTAAAAGATTTCCACTTCATAGCGTGATGGGTAAACACACACACATGTGATTTTATATATAGATATATGGTATGGCTGATTATAACTCCCAGAGTTATTGTCCTTTATACAATCTTGTGAACAACAAAAGTTATCAGATCAGTTCGAAATTCATATGCACTGAAAAAGCCTATCAAATTTCTATAATATACTCCTAGAGTTATGGCCCTTGCTTACTTTGTAGAAATTTGTGAAATCTATAACTAAAAAAGTCATCTGATCTACTTTAAATTTATTTTCTTTGTTTTGATTATTGTCTTTGATCTTGCTTGTGATATTAAACAGATTTTGCCTTGTATTTAGATTCAGTGAGTAAGGCACTGGCTCATTAACAAGGTCCCCAGTTTAATGCAGGTTTTGGCCGAGAAAAGACCTCATGATTTCAATTCCTGGCAAGGAATGGTGTCTAGTTTTTAGGATGGTACAAAAACAGAGGTCCTGTGCGTATGTATAAGAACCCTTAACACTTCATTATCCCAGTTGGTGCAAAAAAGTGGGAACATAGAACCCTATATCATTTCAGATTCAAAACGGCACTGTTTTCTTTCCTCTGCATTTAAATGACAAAATACTCATCAGTTGTAATTTATTAGGTTGTGTTACAAATAATATCACAGTTCATCATAATCTAGGTCATACATGGTTTTATCAGAAGCACTTCATGACTATTCTACAAACTGGGACTAACATGGTTCAATTTATTTCACTGATTCCCTTGCACATAGGGGTTTAGCAATGGGATTCTTCTTAATTAACAAACCCAGCAAAGCCATTAAAATTCAAGATCAAATTTTATTAGTAAGATAAATTTTAGTTTTAACCTGAACAATGCTGTTCCACAAAATTCATATTAATCAATGCATATATTCAAAAAGTCAGAAAAAGTACCATGATTAGCTTCAACAATAAAATTATCAAAAATAACATGATTAGCTTCTACGATAAAATCTATCAATGTTTCCATTCTGAATATAACCTTGATCACTAAGAGGCCACCAACTAATATCATTATTATAACCAGGGTTTGATTTCTTCGTATCTTTCACTGAGGTGAATATAGAATGGCTTGAATCAGTTTGATGTGCTTGGTTATATGGTGGCATACACAGCCTTAATTTCTGTAATACTTGTCCTGGCCAGAAGGCATTCTCATCTGATTTAGTGTTTAGACGGTTGAATTTTGATGCATAATGACTGAAAAAAAGTAATAAAGAACAAAGGATTTTAATATGCAATTAATTCTTAGTATATGGCTTGTAAATTATTCAGAACTATCAAAAACAACTGATAAAGAAGACAAATAACCTCACAACGGTGTTTGTTGTACAGGCCTATTTCATAATTTAAGATTATCAAGTTGCTTCACATTTTTCCCATTCTCTTCATTATACTGCACACAGCGATCCATCTACTTCATTCCTTGAGAATACATCACTGCCCTAAATGCCGCCATCGACTGGTACTGCTTTTTAACCCGGAGCATGTGGTTTATGTAAACAAATATGTCAAATTAGCAAAATGTCGACTTCTGCTAATCCGGTAAAAGCGATATATATAATATGTGCCAATGGGTAATATTGCAATACAGTCTTTATCATTGTAAACTGCTTTTAGAGTTTCAATCTGTTTATCTTTCAAAACAAGGTTAGATAGTAGATACTCCTAAATTTGTCTTCGCAAACAAAGCCGCTTCTGTGAACGTATCTTTCATGGGCGCCACCATATTGAATAATTAGTGGACTATTTCGTGCTTCGACTCTGATCCGTTTGGGGTCTTTCATACACACAACAGCTAAATAAACATATTAAATTTCATTCAATATGAAAATTGAAGAGAAATAAATACTTCTAAAAATTTCTAAACTCATACTCAGTGTTTTCGACTAAAATCGTCGATGTAGGAATTAAAATGTCGGTTAATTAGGTTAGGGCCTAAGTTTGGGATGTCTCTTAATGAAACTCTCTGCTGACAGCTTTTCAGCAACCCAACTTTTTATTATTAGTATAATAGGACTTATTACTTACGTCAAATGAAATAATACCCGAGTTTACGGATACATTGACACATAAAATAGGGTCAGGTCATTCGGAAAATGTTTTTCTTATTTTTCATGGGTTTTGTGGGTTATGATTGAATAGAACTAATAAGTGACCAAATAAACAATAAGATACCAAGCAACAAGTCAAATCACCACACACATCACTTACATAACTTCCCATCCAAGAACAAATAGATGGTTATAGTGGACTTGTTATGAATTCTCTAACAAAGTTTTGGGGAGAATTAGCTAATAAATTTATTAATACAAAAGTTGATAACAAATTTTACCTAGTCAGTCTACTGTATTCTTCGAAAGTCATCCAGCAATCTACTTTCGTTTTTATCAGGGCTTTGCCAGTAGATAATGTTTCCCTAGTTACATTATTACCAACTTGACTTGTTTTGAGATAACTAGCTTTTCTGTCCACTAATATATCTCTACTTCGCGACCGTGTGGCCTTGACTTTTTCTTTTTCAACAGCTTCATGAGAAGTCGACTTCTGGGCTGTTATGGTTTTGGATTTTGCTGTTTCTGTTGTAGGTTTAGAGGATTTGAAATTAAGCTGACGTTGACTGTCTACCGGTTGTGAAATATTGTTGAATAATAAATCATATGGTTTATCACCAGGATAAAGTAGGACTGTAGAAAAAGTGTTAAAAATAATCATTGAAAAACATCCTTTAAAATCATTATATCCTTTAGGGTTCATAAGACACTGTCAAAAAATCCTCCTGAGGAACATGTATTAATATATACTTACTACTGTTTCAATCATGATCATACCCTGTAAGAATTCTTCAGTTCAGAGGATAAATTTTCAACAATTTAAATTCCTGATTCGCCATTTTAAGCAATAGGAATCACTTGCAAACTACAATATTGTGAAAAATGGAACTCGGATAGGAATATCAGTTCAATTCTGTTCAGTATTTATAAAGATATGTGGAATTGATTTTTCATTGATCTATGCTGTCACCATCTTTTATCCGTAGCTGAGATTCCCAGTGGGCCTAGTTTAAATCTGATCGAATCCAAGCTGGGTGATTATCTACCGTTGGTATTTTGAGTTTGTTTTCTTAATTAAATATTAAATAAATCAATCTGCTGAGTACATATTTAGAATGAGGCATGTATTAAGCCATGAAAATATGTCTACTTTTTATTGAAGTTCTTTAACAATCTTGAAAAGATACCGTTAATTGCTTCTCAAATATTTTATGTGCAGTGCTTTTTAGCATTGGCAGGAAAATGGCGAAAACAAAACGAGGTTAGGCAGACTACCATACCCCTTGTTACGTACATACCTGGGATCGACAATATAGTAACAGACATGAATATTATAGGTTCATCCAATCAATCAATGATAAATCAGACCTGGGTACAAAATGAATTAGATCAAAATCAATCATGTCTTATCACTATATCTGTTTAACCCAATTTTACACTTTGTTTTGACTCAAATCGAGGAGGTTTGGCTCTTGAAAGAAAACATTTTGAATTATATTTTTTACCTTTATCAAGAAGCTTTTTGGTTAACACCACACCCCTTTCTTTACACAGACTAACAACATTTTTGTATTCTTCAAGTTGTTTCTGTCTAAATCGATCTATGCTCAATCCTGTTGGTTCACATAATGTAGACATGGAACAATGATCATCTATAGCTTTATCACCTATCTTTATTACACCTGGACATGGTTCATCATCAGCTGTTATACCATGCTGTAAATTAAATGTTCAAGAAATCATGTTTATATTAAAAGATACAGATATGTCAAACATAACCATATCCACTCACTCATAACTTTAAAAAAACAAAGATTCCATGGTCACTCTCTAACTAACTGGCAGACCTAAATTGGGGGGGGGGGGCTGAAGCCTGAACTGGGCCTTTCACAACCATCCTCAGTATCCCCACTGATATCGTTCATTTCTACTCGCTCTCACCCCAGGATCCATTCACAGGGGAGACACAGTCAAATTATCCATCCTTGATGCTTGTGCTATTTTTAGAGGGCAAAGGTTAGTAACTCGCATTTTAATGCAACACTAAGATAGCCGAATCAGATGCTTGAGCTTCATTAGTTTCATAGTAGATCTGTCCCCAAGCTGATTAAAACACAGATCCTATTTATTTATTTTTTGGGCGATCACGTGGCTAAGTGGGTAAGACGCTGGCTCGCTAGCCTGGAGGTTGGGTGTTTGATCCCTGCATTGGCCGAGAAAGTTCATCCAGATTTTCTGGCGTGGTTCCCCCTTGTCAGTGATGCAGGACAGAGGGCCTGGCAAGGACAGCTGTCTAGTCCTTCGGATGATACAAAAAACCGAGGTCCCGTGTATACATTGGAATGCACGTAAAAGATCCCTTGGCAGTTGGAATTCGATATAAGAGTAGACGATAGTGCCGCTGCCCGGGCAAAATTTCCCTCATAACACACTGTATGGCGTATGCCCGTCTTCATTAGCCCAGCATAGGAGCAGAACAGTAGGACATTAAACCCCATTTCATTTGTTTCATTTTTTATAGTTCAAAACTTTGTTTTACTTGTCTTCACTACACTAGGATCTGTAAAACTTGTTAAATAACCTGCATTCCTGTTGATGTGAGGGATTAGCAAATCAAATGGTCTGTTTGATCGAGTTCTTAGCATGCCGTGCATGGAAATGTGGGTGGACATTCACAGCGATAGAAAACAAATCAAAACAAAAGTTGTATTTTCGAATACCCACTTGAAACACCAACGCTGATTGGTATGATCCCTGACACAAACTCCAACTACAACCGTTCAGGTCTTCGTGTAGTGGGGGCCATCGAAAGTATAAAAAAGCGAAACACAATATGGATCTGTTTTTATAAATCAGATTGATCCGTCCCTGAGTAAAACAATTTGATAAATTGAGGTGAATAAATTTGTTGTCTATTGGACGTATATTGTTGTGATCTAGATAAGGATTACTTTCCGTTATATACTTTAAATTCATATTCATACCTTTTTCCTAAATTTATTCCTTCTTAAAACTTCTTTATCATGTTTAATCAAGTCCACCATGGCTTCATCTGACGATAACACCATTTGCTCTACTTCAGTATCTATCTCTGGTACTTCTAGATACTGTGGAGTCGAGCTACGACTAACAGATCGAATACTTCCACCACGAGATGACGCTTGTGGTGAGGATGACTTAACAGGTGAATCTAATGAATCTGGAGATGGAGACTTTAGGATTGAGTCACCTCTTGTACCATTTCTACTTGATATTCGTAATCTTCTCCTTGATTGGCTACTTTCTCTTCTCTCTGTCCCAAACTGTATAACAGATGCTTTTTCTGTTGTTTCTATAGGAACCGGCGAAGTCATTTTACCAGATCCTTTTCTACTTCCACTTTTAGCTGAACCCTTTTGTCTTTCATGTCCCGACGAATCACTAAAAGAAACTGTAGGGAAAAAAAAACATCCTGATCAAGTCCAAAATCGAGAGAACTGTACTGTGTAGTGTGTACATTATAGCTATATCAGCTTTCATTATCAACCACATTTCCAAGGGAAGTAATTGCTTCATTTAAAGGAGCTAAATCGCTAATATTTGGGACCTTGAAATTGACACATATGGGTCACAACACATATAATAATGTAATATGAATGTATATAAACTGATTTACATTCAATCGTTTACCTTTTTACTGTAATTTCTAATCAGATATGTTCGGTGAAATATGCCAGAAGTCTCAATTGAAAGGCAATCTCTAGCATCTGGTTATTCCAGTCTACACTGATAGTATTTATTATGCATCCTCTCCAGATAAGAATATGAGTCACCGTTTGACATGACTTGTGGAATATGTCTAGCCTCGTTCTTCGAGTCCCTTCTTACAAATGGCGCTGAAGCACATTATTGTACACGATTCGTGTACCAATGGTAAAATGTTCATTTTGTTTTAAATATCGGATACCAGAAGCCCATCTTTTTCGTGGTAAGATCACAACATCAATGTTGATTTAAATTGACAAATAATTTGTGTTTTCAATGTCAAAGACTTTAGACTTAGCTACTTTAATTAGTGGGATTCTAAATATGTGGCCATTTTAAATTTTACTCAATCAAAATAGAAACCTTTATGCATCCTTGCACAAGTTTGAAAATCAGAAATAGCTACACACATTTTAACTAGCCTACTGCAATCTGATTGATAAATGTGTATGTATGTTCCATTCATTCAACAGTGATCTCTCCTTCCCATAAATTAAAATTAAAAAGCTCAATTCAATCAAAAGACATTGGGAAATGAAATGGGGTTTAACATCCTACTGTTCTGCTCCGACTGGGCTAATGAAGACAGGAAAGACATTTGGGGCGATAGAGATGGAAGTGTAATCACCTTGTTGAAACTAAACTTACCTCCAGATAATTCTGAATCAAATGAATCGTTTAACCTAGCTTTCCGTCTATTTTCTCTTCTTTCCTTCTGCCATATTTTAATACCTTGTGCCAACTCACTATAATCTAATTGATCGTTAATATCATCATCTAAACAAACAATCATATCTTCTACTTCTTTATCTGATATTTGTAGATTAGCCTGATAAAATATATAACATTACTTGTACAATTGTGGATTACACTAATGTACATAACTGGATATTGTGAAAATAGTCAATACTGGTTTTAATCTAAAATCATGATCAAGAAATCCAACAGGACAAGTTTTTTTAAAATAACAATAGAAACACTCAGGGACACAATGAACAATTACTGCATGATGGGCATCAGAAGAATTGAGAGTCAAACCATGATTTTGTGACAAAAAAAAACACCTGTGATCGGGACTTATTTCCCGGGCTGATTTTATATAAATCATTACCCTTATACTCCTACTCAGCAAAAATTCGACAATATTTTTTTTCAAAAGTTACTAAAATTCCACAGGATTCTTACTTCTGTTTAAATTCTAATGTGGGTTCCAGTAATCTCTCATAAGTACTTTTTGAGTATAGATCAGGTTATTGATGTAATTAAATATAGGCCTATTAGAAATTTAAACTTATAATAACATACCCTTTCCATTGCATTTTTAAATTCCTTTTTCGTCACTTTCCAGTCTTTATCTTTATCCAGAACTTTAAACAGGTCTAGAAGACGAAGTCTGTTTACTTTTACATGTTCATCCAAAATTTGCAGAGCTAATGGGGCTGGTGAGGCAATTTTGGGAACCGGAGGAAGTTCCCTTTTCACAGGTGGGGGTCTGGGTTTGGGCTTTCTTCGGTATAAGGCAGCTTTTTCTCTTGAATCATTGACCATTTTATACATCACACGTTTCTCAAGATCAGTTTTGTTAACTTTATATTTTAAATAATTTTCTGAGAGACCCATGTTGTCCAAATGACCTCTTAGTTTTTTTCTTTCCGACATCCAAAATCTGTAGTTAGACATGCTTTCCTCCCCTTGTTTGGCTTCTGTTTCTTCCTCAGTTAGGATTTTAGTTGGTTGTGGCGGTATATGTAATGCAGAGTTTAATATTGGGTGTTCTCGTGGTGCTGTCTCATTACTATATAAACCGATTCTGTGCTTTAGTGGTGTCTCCATTCCAGGTGCGACAAGCACACGTTTTCTACTCAAAGGTCCGCCAAATATATTAACTGCCGCTTTATAATGTTTTATGTGCGCTAAATCTCTTTTTGGTAGACCATCTAACCGTTTTCCTTGTGGGATATGATCCATGTTATATTCATCAAATAATCTTGCAAGTGAAAAGCCAATATCCTGATCCAGGATACCAACTGACGTTCTTGGAGCCATGATGGCTGTTATTATAGCTAGAAGAGTTGATAGTGTTTATATCAGACAGGCCTCTTCACATCTAACTTAACGGACAAAAAGGACTGTAAATTCTAGGAAGAGAAAGGAAAAATATAAAAATTATAATTTTGACTATCAATGATAACGTAAAATAAACAAATATTTTGTTTTGAACAAGTCTACAATATAGTAAATTCCCAAATGTTCAAAATTACATGGGGATCACGGTGGCTAAGTGGGTAAGACGCTGGCTCGCTATAGCTTGGAGGTCGGGTATTTGATCCCTGCATTGGCCGAGAAAGTTCAACCAGATTATCCGGGGTGGTTCCCCCTCATCACCATCAATGTCAGTGTGTCAATAAAACTTTCATTTCTATTCACTGTTCGTAATAAATATCACTTTACCAATGAAAGTAGGACGTTAAACCCCATTTCATTTCAATTTAATTTCAAAATTACATGTATCTCAATATTTATCACCATCAATGTCAGTGTGTCAATAAAACTCTTTCATTTCTATTCACTGTTCGTAATAATAAATATCACTTTACCAATGAGTGAATGACTGCAGAGATTACTATAACAACGTATAATCCAAGTAGCTTTGATAAAAGATATATTTATATGGATCGCGGTGTTGAAAATGAAATTATATATGTCATTTCTTGTTCGGCATGAATGTCGGCTATTTTCCACGTGAGGCAATTTAATTTAATATTAAAATATCAAATCATAGACTAGCCATTTTTATAATTTTACGAAATTTGTAAGCATTGATTGTTACCCAGTAACTACAAAATATCATAAACTGTTCTAAATTCATTGTGGTATGTACCCCCATTAATCAACATCATTCCGTCTTATCACAATCTGTCAGGTTTCAAGACTAGCCTAATGGTTCTTTGCTTTCTTTACACGGCCATTGTTGCTATTGTAAACAATCTTGTTGCGCATGCCAATCGAGCAAAGGGAGGTAACTAACAAATGTATAAATGGGATCAGACTGCTGTCTAGCCATAATAGATTAAACACCATTTTTTGTATGAATAAACAACTTATGGTTATCAAAACCTGGCCCACGTGTTTTTAATCACCGTCGATAAAATAAAATACTAATAACTTTGACATCGGGAAAGACTAAAATAGAATGTAATTAGGCCACACATAGTACAATGAGGGTGACAGCATGCGTCATATAACTAGGCTAATTAGGTCAGACATTTTAACCTAATTCCGTATCATCCCGGGCAGTTGCTGCAACAGAAATGACATACACGGTTTATGGACGGTCTAGCCGTATATTATCACCAAAAAAATGAACACCAGTCTGAAATCTGTGCCCAAATAAGTTAAATTTGCCAAAATCAAAACTTGGTCCACAGTTGGATAGAAAATGCCAATTTTTACCAAATTATCATTATATAACCGAGTTTGGTATCAAAATATACCTCTTCAGTTCAGTCAACATCTTCTTCACTAGAGCTTCACCAGAAACATCAATTAAAGGTCTTTGTGACTTGGAGTCACCAAATCAGTTTAGGAATTTTAGGCTTCTTTCTATGAGCCAAACAACTTATTCAAATTCCCAAAAATAAAATTTGGGCACATAATATAAGCCATCATTTTTTTTTTTTTTAAAGTCAGTCCCAACAAAATAAAAAAATATGAAAACTGTATGGTAAGAACAATTTAATTATCTTTTGTTTTATAAATGCTTCAAAGTTTTGTAAAGATCATCTGTTGAAATATTAAATTATGTTCAAGTTGAACCATTTCCACAGCAACATTCCTAAATGGATCTATATCTTTAAAATAATACAATTATCTACATTTATTCCCCTTACATCAAGGCACTCAAACTCAAGAGTATAATTATAACAAGAACTAGTTAATAACATTAATTAAAGTAATTTTACAAAAACACATCATATATAAAGTCACACCAATAGGATGATTGGGTACTTGTTCAGTTGCATCACATGGCAAACTTTTCAACAAAACTTAATCATATATTTCCTTAACAAAAATCTAATTTCCTCATCAATATTTTGGCATGCTGAAAAGATGAAAACAAAATTCTATGCCTGATTTTATGACAGTGTCAATTCATCATTGTTCAATGTTACATCTGCAATGACGAAACATTACTAGTGTGCAATGTAACATGTACCAGTATAATCCTACTGATGGGTTATCTTATAAATGTGGGTCCTATTTCACAAAGCACATATAAACTTACACATAAATCAAAACATTTTACTGTACAGCTCTATTGAAATTGGATGTACATAATCTAAGACTTTTTACAATAGGGACAATAGATATAAGAGGTAAAATCTTAAAGATTTAACGATAAAATGGATAATCAAGGCTTCGACTCGGTAGTCAAGTACCATTAAACGATCTACGCTATGTCTTAAAACGGTCATAACTTTGCCCAGAATAAAGTAATTTGAATCAAAATTTCGATATACAGTAGAATCTGCATTAAGCAGCCACCCAAGGGAATTTTTACAACCGACCGCTTAACGGGAGTGGCCTCTTAATAAAATCTCATTGCTTTTTGTGCTGACATAAATTAAATATTACGCTTGGATGCATTGGAAGCGGTAAATTTGACCGTCGCTGAATCTTGCGCCGAACGAAAATTCTTTACTCAAATCTCGGACATAACTTAACGGGAGTGGCCTCTTAATAAAATCTTGGTGCTTTTAGTGCTGACATAAATTAAATATTACGCTTGAATGCATTGGAAGCGGTAAATTTGACCGTCGCTGAATCTTGCACCGAACGAAAATTCCTTACTCAAATCTTGGACATAACTTCTGTATACTTGTCATTTTGTACCAACCTTCGATACTACTGTCTACCATTGTGATGCATTCGATAATATTTATCCATTTTTGTGAAGAGAATTGATGAATTAATTTTATTTTATCAAAAAAGCACATGCACAAAAAAACATCGCTAATTTTATCACCTATTTACAGGGGGTGTAACTCTGTATGTAATATTATAGGAGGCGCTAAAACGTCTGTTGTTAAAACAATAAAGTGGCAATGGAAAAGAGATACTAGATGATCGTGACAAAACTCTGTACTTTTATTTTATTCAATCAGTATCAAATAATGTGTCGTTACGCGTGAAAACAATGATCAGGTTAGTCGTTTAATAAAACAAAAGATTAATTAACAGATAATCCAGGGTTGATTGTTATTTTTACGTTTCTTTTTACCTGATCAGTGGGGGTCCAGTTTATTAACTACTACTCACGGGATTAGCGTTGGTGTTACAAAGAACGACAAGATGGTATCATTCAACAATGGCCGTTGAATGGGTGATGTTTTGTTGAATTTATTAGTAAAATAGTGACCGCTGGCCGCGTTAGAGGAGTGACCATTGAATAAAGAGATGAAACAATAGAATTTCTACGGGGGGAATTTATCGTGACCGCTTACAAGGAGATGTCGCTGAATAGGAGTGGCTGCTCATACAGATTCTACTGTATATTCATTTTTCATTATCTATATTTGAACTATTATAGCAAGAACAGCTTTCTTTTTATCCAAATATTACATAATGCACCTTTAACTGAGTTATTTTTTTTACCAAATCTATGTTTAGATGTGATATCAATTAACTGGCAAGACTCTTATTAATAAAATAATAATTAACATGAGCCTGGCCCACTTAAATTAGATACAGATAAAAAAAAAGTTACTTTTGGAGCAATAATAATTTTATGGTTGAACTATGTTATACATTATCAAAAGATAGGTTGCCAGGCAATGAAACATACGCCCACAGCAGTTAAATTGTCCGAGCAGTCGACAAGGGTTGTTGCATATTTCTTTTGTAAGTAATTGGGGGCATTTACAATACAATTTCATATACATCAGATCATAATTTTTGTCGTTTGAGGGTTCACAATGTTCTACAAACTGTAACAAGGGCCTTAACTCTAGAACTAATTTACAGAAAATATAAATTTCATACAGATTGGATGATAACTTTTGTCATTCGAACGTTCATAAGCTTCACAAAGTAAAACAAGGGCCATAACTCTAGAAATAATTGACGGACCTCAATAGCCCTTCGTTTCACAAACTTAAATGATAAATATAAATTTCATACATATCTGATGATAACTTTCATCAATCTAGCATTAACAAGGTTGAACAAAGTGAAAAAGGCCCATAACTCAAGAATTAATTATTTTAAATTGCTGAAATTCAATAGGCTGCGTGGTTTCACTAATCTTAATGATGCATATAAATTTCATACAGACCAGCTGATAACTTTTGATGTTAGAGCGTTCACAAGGTTCAACAAAGTGAGACAAAGGCCATAACTTAGAAGTCATTAACAGAAATTGCTGAACTTCAACTGGCTTCTTCGTTTCACTAATTTAAATAATACATATAAAATTCACAAAAAGCGGATGATAACTTCTGGCGTTAAGAGCATTCACAAGGTTCAATAAAGCGTTCACAAGGTTCAATAAAGTGAAACAAGGGCCATGACTCTAGAGATAATAAATGGAAATTGCTGAAATTCAATAGGTTTCTTCGTTTCATTACATGCATATAAATTTAACAAAGATCAGATGAAAATTTTTGGCGTTAGAGCTTTCACAAGGTTAAACAAAGTGAAACAAGGGCCATAACTGTAGAAGTAATAAACGGAAATTGCTGAAATTCAATAGGATTCTTCTTTTTACTAATTTAAATGACGCATATCAATTTCATACAGATCAGCTGATAACTTTTGATGTTAGAGCGTTCACAAGGTTCAACAAATTGCTGAAATTCAACTGGCTTCTTCGTTTCACCAATTTAAATAATACATATAAAATGCACAAAGAGCTTTCTGGTGTTAGAGTGTTCACAAGGTTCAATAAAGTGAAACAAGGACCATAACTCTAGACATGATAAACGGAAATTCAATAGGTTTCTTCGTTTCATTAATTTAATTAATGCATATAAATTTAACAAAGATCGGATAAAAACTTTTGGCGTTAGAGCGTTCACAAGGGCCATAACTCTAGAAGTAATAAACAGAAATTGCTGAAATTCAATAGGCTTCTTCGTTTACCTAATTTAAATATTGCATATAAATTTCACAAAGATCGGATGTTAACTTTTGGCATTAGAGCGTTCACAAGGTTCAACAAAGTGAAATAAGGGCCATAACTCTAGACGTAATAAACAGAAATTATTGAAATTAAATAAGCTTCTAGATCTTACTAATGTAAACAACACATATCAACTGGATGACAACTTTTGGCGTTGGAGCGTTTACAAGAAATTGTGGATGACGGACAGACGGCAATATACGTCCACATTTCCATGTGAGCGTATAAAAATAAATCATACAATAATTTTTACATTCACCAACATTATCTTTAGTGTAACAATGTTCAGTGCAAGAAACTTTTCATAAAATCAAGAATGTCCCTACTTCATAGATAACTGTATATACAGTTAAAATGGCTTCATTTTATACTTATATATATATATATATATACAACGAAGCAGTAGAATTTCCAGGCATGCTTGCATCAATATAGAGGTAAGATGGAAAACACTTATTTACTTCCATACACAAACACAATATCTCAAACCCTGAATGTGTAAGATTTAGTTTACCAAATTACTTGGCTAGCAAAACCATATTTTATTATTCAAATAATCCAGTTTTGGTATAAAGTCAATGGAACTAGGCATACATGTATGAAACTTTGGATATTAAAAATGAGCTGTATCTAAAACAATTAATGAAAATATGCCATAATAACAATATTTTTTAAAACATATAATTATAATATACCCCTTATATATATGGGTAACATATTAAAATAGATATTTTCTACAATTAGCTGCACCACACTGACAAACAATACGATTTTTTGGCCCGGAGAGTAAACGACTTTTACGCTTTTTGTCAGAAGATGGGGGAGTTGGAACAGCAATGGTGAAACTAGATTCCTGAGTATTTGCCATATTATAGCCAGACCAGAGTTCTTCACCAACTTTTGGAGTTTTGGCACCAGATTCTGAGTCAATATTAAAGTTAAGCAGAGTATTTGGATTTAGTTTGTCCGTTAAATTGTTCTCCCCCTCCATCAAGCTGCCTATTCCTGAGTCACTTTCATCCATTTGTTTATTCTCCTGGCTAATTTTTTGCTCAACTTCAAAGGATGCTGATAGTATGGACTTCTGGGTAGTATCGCCTAAAAGAATAAATTATTCATCATATATAAAGCCTTGTATTGTTGTAATACCAAGAACCAGACCACTAATCTATAGGATAGTTATCTCATATTGCAGAAATTATATATAACCAAATCTGTTCTGTTAAAATATTGATAAGCTGCTAAATCTCAATCCAGGTGCTCCAAATTTAATGATAAATATCTTTTCGGCAAGGAGGTGATTGAAAGGAATGTTTGCTCAAGGAAGACAATTCATAGGAAATGCTAAGATATCATTTTATTAATTTGAGAGTGCTACCTGGAAGGAAATACATTTTTACCTTGATATGCATCTCTCCTTTTCCCCCATAGAGCTTTTCAGACTCTCATAAATTAATTTGAAAAGATCTCCAGTTTGTCATTTGAAGGTAGGGATCAAAGTGCATACAATTGATTGGAGTCTGAATCCACTTCTTGCTATCAACTTGTGAAACTCTAAGCAGGAGTGTACAAACATTTCTAAGGAAGTCATTTTTTCTCAGTTATATTTTTGTGTTTTGTTGAGCGGCTCAATAACCACAGCATAGAACAGCACCTATTCCTTCAGATGTGACACACTTAACTGATGTCCTGTATACAAAATAACGTACCTGTCATCATATAATCAAAAGTTAATTCCTCTCCTTTCTGTATATCTTGTTTAGCAAACAGACATATCCTAGGTAAGCGTGGATCTAATGTGTTTATCCACACAGCAAACACTTCCAAATTAGGTTCACACTGTAATATACACAAAAAATAAATGATGTAGTTTACAAAATTGCAAGGCTAGTCGAAATTCTTTTAAACTTTAGAAATTGATATAATGTACATACTGAGTGATTGATAAAATGCGAAACATTTCCATAAAATCCTGCATCAACAGTAAATGGACAATCCCCTTCATTATAATCCAAATCAAACAAGTATGTCATCCCTTCTGCATCATAAACACGACCCCTTCTCTCAGCTTCTTCTGCAGTAATAACCTGAAAAAATATATCAATGTTATTACACAGTGCAATTGATTTGATTAAACATACATTATGCAAGAGCTAAATCTTTCTATTGCAGGTCTTTCTTTAGGCCTGAAATGTTATCTAAATTATTAATTAGACATTAATTAACCTATCAACTCTAAATGGCATTGCTAGCCGTCGATCTTTAGTGGATTATGAGCCGATTTACTGCATAACTTTCCTTCACGATTTAACGATTAAATGGATAATCGAGACTATGCTGTTTATCGTACTGACTTTAGTAATGATGATCAAGGCTAGCCGGAAATTTCAACCGCTTAGTTCTCGGTTCATAGTGGATCAATTTAAAAGAAATTTTCAGCAAATTGCCTTTACATTATCTAGTTTTTAACTTTATGGTGAGAACTGCCAACTCGTTATTGAATCTCCCATAATGTATCTTTAAGTTTAACTTTAAGTTCAGATCCATAGGTCTAATTACCTTCCTGGACAATTTTGTAAATAAAAAATGTATTCACACTATTACCTAAAACTTACAAATAATATAGATCTAAATTTGCTCACATCTACAATTTTTCAGCTATACAATTGCCAGTACTTCAACTTAACCGCAGCCCAGGAGTATTGATCAAAAAATGGCAAAAGCAACTTGTCAGAACATAAATATGCAAATTGACTGGCATTACATAATGTTACGAACCTACCTCTCCAACATATTCTATAACAAAACAGCCTTTTTTGATTTTATCCAAAGTTTTCACACCCCAACCACGACCATTTGCCGTTCGAAAAATACTCAATCTGAATTTACAGCCATTCTGCACTACCCTGTTTGAACATTCTGGCCCACATCGACAACGTTTGTTACACTCATAAATCGGTGTTCCCTTTTCCACACGGACACGTTTATTTTTATAATAGGCAAATTGAGCACCACACCCCATTGGACAGCAATGCTTTTTATTATCAAAACAATTGTCACAGTCACACCCAATAATTGGGTCCTGAGGAATACTAATTCCCTCCCCTTCCCTATAGTCTGTGATAAATTCAAAATTTTGAGGAGGTCCTTCCAGATCAACATTATTTTCTACAAATATTTTGGCTGGATCAATACTGATGTGGTTTAGTTTTTTCTCCCATTCTTTCAACTCTTTTGCTATGGCTTCCTTCTTCAACTTGTATCGTTTACTTCTTGGATTCAGATTCTTGACGCTGTGAAATTTTGTTCTACCAATTCTAGTAGGCTTACTCAAACCAAAAAGACTTAAACTTTTATTTATTTTAGGGCTTGTTAGAGCTATTAGATCTATGGGTGTTATGTTTTCTGTGGTAGCTGTAGACATAAGTTTATCAAATATTTTATCAACAGTTCGCTGTTTGAAGGCTCTCTGATCCTCATCACTTGTCTCAATTTTTCGCTTAGTTAGTTTCTTCTTCAGTTCACGGTGATAGCTTTGAATAAGGTTCTTGCAGTCTATGTTTTGCACTGGTTCCCAACTGTTATGGGCGTGACTCCAGCCCTTCCATTTAATCAAATAAAATGTAGTTCCCTATAAAATAAAATAATTATTTCAGAAGACAATATTTCCACTGAGTATAAGACCAAATATCGAAAGGAACTGAGATCTTTGGGTTATAAACTTACATTTCAAGTTTCAACAAAATTGGATAAAAATTGTGACCTCTATAGGGTCCACAAGCTAAAAACGTGATTTTTCGTACAAACAGGGGCCATAATCCATGAAGTTTCGATCCGATACATGCCAATATCGAAAGCAGCCGAGATCTTTTGGGGATAAACCTATATTTCAAGTTTCGTCGAAATCGGATAAGAATTGTGACCTGTAGAGTCCACAAACAATTGTGGACGGAGGGACGGACAGGGGCGACGGCATAATACGTCCACATGAAAATGTGGGCGTATAAAAACAATAAATCCTGACCCTATAACAATGAAGAACTGCATTTAAATGTCATCCATGTTAATAATAATAATAATAATAATTGTTTTCTATAGCACTGAACATTCAGGAAAGTGTTTGAATAAAATAATACTAAATTAGTTCAGTCACATTCACATATACAATGTATGATGTACATACATGTAAGCTGTCTTCTAAAAAATAGTGAAATCATCGAAAGAACCAGCCATGTAAAGATCGGTTCACCAAAACTGTTGATGGATGACACAACTGAGCAATACATACCCACAATATTATCAGATTTGATTTACACATCTCTTGAAGCATTTACAGAATCATACACACTGAGGATTGTGATGCCCCTGCCTGATACATACTCACATTAGAAAAAAATTATAGTTTACTATATCATATTACATGTTGTTAAATCAATTGAAAATTTGAAGTTACATGTACCTCATCTTCAACGTGATCAGCTATATACTCCACTTCATATTCTTCTTCATCATCACTCCATTTTATATCTCCTTTATCGACCACTAAAATTAAATATTAACAAAATGATATCTGAAAGTTGAAAGATAGGTTGTCGGGCAACGAAATATACGCCCACAGCAGGTATATTGTCCCAGCGGTTGACAAGACAAGGGTTGTTGCATATTTATTCATTTGTAGGTAATGGGGGGCATTTACAAGACAATTTTATAAAGTATAGATCAGATTATATTTTCTGTTGACATAAGAGGGTTCACAATAAAAGGGTCTACAAACTGAAACAAGGGCCTTAATTATAGAAGTAATTAACAGAAATTGCTGAAATTCAATAGGCCTCTTCGTTTCACTAATTGAAATGATGCACACAAGTTTCATACAGATCGGATGATAATTTATATCGTTAGAGCGTTCACAAGGTAAAACCAGCGGCTGCCAGGCAGGATACGCCCACATTTTCGAGAGATGGATAGAGAACAAGCTAAGAAGAAAGTGATTTTTCCTACAATCAGGGGCCATAATTCAGGAAGTTACGGTCTGATATGCGCAAATATCAAAACGAACCGAGATCTTTGGGTTATAAACTTACATTTCCAGTTTCAACAAAATCGGATAAAAATTGTGACTTCTATAGGGTTCACAACTTTGATATACCCTATTTTTACGCTATTTGAGAACAAAGGGCGGCCATTTTATCTGTCAGTTTTGGGCCGATTTTCACGAAATTCGAACTCAGTCGTGCTTAGGGTGTAACGGTGATATAACAATACGTTTTTTTAAATCGGATAAAAATTATTACCTCTATAGGGTCCACAATCTAAAAACGTGATTTTTCATACAATCAGGGGCCATAATTCAGGAAGTTACGGTCCGATATGCGCGAATATCGAAAGGAACCAAGATCTTTGGATTATAAACTTACATTTCAAGTTTCAACAAAATCGGATTAAAATTGTGACCTCCATAGGGTCCACAACCTTGATATACCATATTTTTACGCTATTTGAGAACGAAGGGCGACCATTTTGTCTGTCAGTTTTGGGCCGATTTTCACGAAATTCGAACTCAGCCGTCCTTAGGGTGTAACGGTGATATAATAATACGATTTTTTAAATCGGATAAAAATTATGACCTCTATAGGGTCCACAAGCTAAAAACGTGATTTTTCGTACAATCAGGGGCCATAATTCAGGAAGTTACGGTCCGATATGTGCAAATATCAAAAGGAACCGAGATCTTTGGGTTATAAACTTACATTTCAAGTTTCAACAAAATCGGATAAAAATTATGACCTCTATAGGGTCCACAACCTTGATATACCATATTTTTACGCTATTTGAGAACGAACGGCGGTCATTTTGTCTGTCAATTTTGGGCCGATTTTCACGAAATTCGAACTCAGCCGTCCTTAGGGTGTAACGGTGATATAATAATACGTTTTTTGAAATCGGATAAAAATTATCACCTCTATAGGGTCCACAAGCTAAAAACGTGATTTTTCATACAATCAGGGACCATAATTCAGGAAGTTACGGTCCGATATGCGCGAATATCGAAAAGAACCGAGATCTTTGGGTTATAAGCTTACATTTCAATTTTGAACAAAATCGGATAAAAATTGTAACCTCTATAGGGTCCACAACCTTGATATACCATTTTTTTACGCTATTTGAGACGAACGGCGGCCATTTTGTCTGTCAATTTTGGGCCGATTTTCTCGAAATTCAAACTCAGCCGTCCTTAGGGTGTAACGGTGATATAATAATACGTTTTTTTAAATCAGATAAAAATTATGACCTCTATAGGGTCCACAAACTAAAAACGCGATTTTTCGTACAATCAGGGGCCATAATTCAGGAAGTTACGGTCTGATATGCGCAAATATCAAAAGGAACCGAGATCTTTGGGTTATAAACTTACATTTCAAGTTTCAACAAAATCGGATAAAAATTGTGACCTCTATAGGGTCCACAACCTTGATATACCATATTTTTACGCTATTTGAGAACGAACGGCGGCCATTTTGTCTGTCAATTTTGGGCCGATTTTCACGAAATTCGAACTCAGCCATCCTTAGGGTGTAACGGTGATATAATAATACGTTTTTTTAAATCGGATAAAAATCATGACCTCTATAGGGTCCACAAGCTAAAAACGTGATTTTTCGTACAATCAGGGACCATAATTCAGGAAGTTACGGTCCGATATGCGCGAATATCGAAAAGAACCGAGATCTTTGGGTTATAAGCTTACATTTCAATTTTCAACAAAATCGGATAAAAATTGTAACCTCTATAGGGTCCACAACCTTGATATACCATACTTTTACGCTATTTGAAACGAACGGCGGCCATTTTGTCTGTCAATTTTGAGTCAATTTTCACGAAATTCGAACTCAGCCATCCTTAGGGTGTAATGGTGATATAATAATACGTTTTTTTTAAATCGGATAAAAATTATGACCTCTATAGGGTCCACAACTAAAAACGCGATTTTTCGTACAATCAGGGGCCATAATTTAGGAAGTTACGGTCTGATATGCGCAAATATCGAAAGGAACCGAGATCTTTGGGTTATAAACTTACATTTCAAGTTTCTATAGGGTCCACAAGCTAAAAACGTGATTTTTCGTACAATCAGGGGCCATAATCCATGAAGTTTCGATCCAATACATGCCAATATCGAAAGCAGCCAAGATCTTTTGGGGATAACCCTATATTTCAAGTTTCGTCAAAATCGAATAAGAATTGTGACCTGTAGAGAGTCCACAGACAATTGTGGACGGACGGACAGGGGCGACGGCATAATACGTCCACATGAAAATGTGGGCGTATAAAAAGTGAAACAAGGGCCATAATTCTAGAAGTTATAACCAGAAAATTGCTGAAATTCAACAGCCATCTTCATTTCACTAATTTAACCTGTTTAAGCGTGACGTTTTTAAAACGTTAACTACCCCCTATTGTGTAATTAATTTGACGAAGTGACGAAGAACTATGTACTATGTTCTAAGAATAGGTTGGGGAAAATACCTCCAAGGCGTTATATTACGCCCTACACATAGTGAGTGGCAGTTGTCCAGGACGTAATATAACGTCCTACACATGCTGTGATCGTGGAGGAATTCCCAAGGGATTCCCCCAAGTGACGAACTATGTTCTAAGAATAGGTTGGGGAAAATACCTCCAAGGCGTTATATTACGCCCTACACACAGTGAGTGGCAGTTGTCCAGGATGTTATATAACGACCTACACACTTAACGGGTTAAATGATGCATATAAATTTCATATCGATCGGATGATAACTTTTGGCTGTGGAGCGTTCACAAGGTTCAACAAAGTGAAACTAATTGCTGAAATTCAATAGGATTCTTCTTTTACTAGTTCAAATGATGCATACAAATTTCATACAGTTTGGATGATAACTTTTGATGTTAGAGCATTCACAAGGTTCAACAAAGTGAACAAGGGTCATAACTCTAGAACTACTAGAAGTAATTAACAGAAATTGCTGATATTCAATAGGATTTTTTGTTTCATTCATATTCATAATGATGAATATAAATTTCAGCATTCACAAAGTTCATCAAAGTGAAACACAGCTTCTTCATTTAACTAATTCAATCAATTTATGCATACAAATTGCATACAGATCGGATGATAACTTTTGGCGTTAGGGTGTTCGCAAGGAGCAACAAAGTGAAACAAGGGCCATAACTGAAATGAACAAATTATTTAAATTAAATAGGATTCTTCATCTCACTTTTAAAGTAAACAACATATATCAATTTTAAAACAATCAGATGATAAATGTACCAAGTAAAGTGTTCACAAGAAATTGTGGACGGTGGACGAACCAACAAATGATTTGTGTACCAATGGTAAAATGTTTATTTTGTCTTATATATTGGATATCAAAAGCCCATCTTTTCCCTGTAAGATCACAACATCATTGTTGATTTAAATTGACAAATAATTTGTGTTTTCAATGTTAGGGTGCTCCATGCAATGAAAATTTTCCCTACTGAAAGTTGAATTCGACACGGTGGATGTGCATGCTTCAGTGGCTTGTCTCTAAGTGAGCAGAAATTCGGCCATATATCCGTTATCACTCGTCACATCAGTCAGTTATATAGAGATATGACTCGTGTTTTCCTGGCGTAGTCACTTCCGACTCAGGAAACCTGTATTACATGTACTCAGCTATCGTAGCAATGATCTCTGTGTTAATATTATATTTGGAATGTGTTTAACCAATATTGTCCTTTAACTGAAATGTAAAAGTAACGTCGCAAGATGGCACATGAAAATTTTCAGAATAATTCCGGAAGAAATAGATTATATTTTGATGGAATTTTCCAGCGTTTATGATTATATTTTGAATAGGGATATGTTTTTAAACAAAATTTATACCGTAAGTAGTTCTAGACGATACTTGATAGCAAAGGTTTGACTTGACCATACGACTATGAGTACAGCAATATTATTTAGCAGGCAATGTTTATTATCATTTATGTAACCAGGAATGACCCCTTACACGCAGTTATTGATCTTCAGAACCATTTCCCATACATACAAATAATCACTCTCCTTGATCACCCTCCTTAATTTCTAAATCACTCTTATCGAAACTGGGAGCTATTTTTTCAATTTGTTCATTAAGGGGAGCTCTCCTCTAAAATGCAAAAAACAACAACTGTTATCTTGAAAAACGGAAGGTTGAAGGTTTCTTAATCTTATCTACTTTAAAGTACCCAGTACCGCAGCTAGTCTCTAATTCAATATCATCCAAAGTCTTCGACATTGAAATCACGAATTATTCGTCAATTTAAATCAACATTGATGTTGTGATCTTACCCGGAAAAGATGGGCTTCTAATATCCAATATAATTTATAAATAAATAACAAGGGACTAGTAGAACATGGCTAGACATAGGCTGTGCTGCAAGTCATGTCAAACAGTGGCGTCATATTCTTATCTGGAGAGCATGTGCAATAAATACTATCGATAGTATCGGCGTAGACTGGAATAACCAGATGCTAGAGATTGCCATTCGATTGAGACTTCTCTTCTGGTGTATTTCGCCAAACATAGCTGATTAGAAATAAAACAGAAACGACTGAATGTAAATCAGTTTATATACATTCATATTACATTATTATATGCGTTGCGACCCATTTGCGTCATTTTCTTGGTCCCAAATATTTGCGATTAACTTATTAAAGGCTGTAGGCCTACTACTACTACTTTCTGGGCCTAACCAAATCGAAATACAGTCGCTAGAATCATAACTCATACTGTATAAAATAAATTAAAAATTAATTAAATTATTAAAACGTTAACCGTACATTTTGAAATAAGTTTTTGTGCTCCTTCCGGTTTTAACTTCTGGAGGATTTCGTAGAGTAAATATCGGTTAGTTTCACGTGAAAAACGTAAATTTTCTTTTTCACATTTTTTTTGCAAGTCAATTATTCCGGAAAGACATTGAATGTTAACGGGATTCGTTTCCATTCTTCTTTCTGTAACGGCTTTCTATTTGTATTTTCTGGTGCACATAACGGTATATTGAAAATGTCTTCACATTGTAGAGGTTATTGACACGTTTGAACCCTTAGATTTGTTGTCGGCGCCTTTTTGAAATAACCACCGCCATCTTGTAGATTACAAAATTTTGATTGGTTAATAAATTTTTCGGACGGCATTATCTGCCCTTGTTCTACTTTTTTCTTGCCCGCACTTTTTATGTTGATGCTATAGCGCACCCTTCAAAATACCAAAATGGGGAGGAGATACCAATAGCTAACTGAGCAGAAATTCTAACGTTTTTGTAGGCGGGAATTAAGAAGCATAACCACGCCTTGACATGATCAGAGAAGGGAGCAGGTCGTTATATCCCACTACTGGTTCATCTCGGGCTGTTTCACCCGGGCTGTTTCATCCCAAATTTACAGAAAATACGAACTGAACTTGATGATTTAAATAAAACTATTGACTTTAACGCTCATGATTTTGGTAAGTTAGAAAATTCTGTTTATTTAAAAAAATTTAACTTGGTTAGTGAATCTTTTGTTTTAAAGCTAATTAAATCGTCTGCTCCTAAATCTTGTTCATTAGATCCTGTTCCGACTTCCAGTTTTTACCAATATTATTAATTCTTGTATATCCTCCGCTACTATTCCCAACGTTTTCAAACGAGCTTATGTTACCCCTTTAATTAAAAAGTCTACACTGGATCCTAATGTTTTTAAAAATTACAGGCCTAGCTGTCTCTAACTTAAGTTTTATTTCTAAAATATTGGAGAAATGTATTGCTTCTCAGATAAAGGCCCATCTAGATGATAACTGTTTGTATGACAGAACACAATTTTTATTTTAAAACAATCGATGTCTTTATTCTAAAAGCATGACGTTTCGAATAGGTATGCACAGTTTCAAAAGGATCTGTTAAGAATTGCGGCCTGTAGGCAAAACACAAGACACACAAACATTAGGCGTGACCCTGCCCCAAGGGGTCGAGCATGCACCAACAATAATAATAGAGGTCAGCCTTAGGATTAAGGAATAAGTATAAAATAGTAGCCTTAGGCTATAAGGAATAAGTATAAAAAAGTTTTCAAGATGATCGATTAAGAAATGCGGTCTGCAAGTGACACACAGACATAAAAAAAAAAGAAAATGGGCGTAGCTCTGCCCCTGGGGGTTGGGTATTCACCACAAATAATAGGGATGTTCCTTAGGATAGAAGGAATATGTATGCTAAGTTTCAAGGTGATACGATAAGAAATGCGATCTGTAGATGACAAACAAATAAATAAATATAAGGGATGGGGGTGGCTCTGCCCCTGGCGGTTGGGCATGCACCAAAAACAATAGGGATCATCGTTAGGTATAAGCAATTCATATGAACATTTTTCAAGGCGATTAAGAATTGTGGCCTGTAGGTGACACACAGACATAAAAAGAAAAGAAAATGGGCGTGGCTCTGCCCCTGGGGGTAAAAAAAAAACAATAGGGATAATCGTTAGGGTATAAGCAATTCATATGAAAAAATTTCAAGACGATTGATTAAGAATTGTGGCCTGTAGGCGACACACAGACATAAAAAAAAGAAAATGGGCGTGTCTTTGCCCCTGGGGTTGGGCATGCACCCAAAACGACAGGGATGTTCCTTAGGGTACAAAGAATAAGTATGCAAAGTTTCAAGATGATACGTTAAGAAATGTGGCCTGTAGACGACAAACAAATACAAAAAATGGGCGTGGCTCTGCCCCGGGGAGGCGAGCATGCACCAAAACAATAGGGATCATCCTTAGGGTATAAGGAATAAGTATGTAAAGTTGATACGTTAAGAAATGCGGTCTATAGATGACAAACAAATAAATAAATATAAGGAATGGGCGTGGTTCTGCCCCTGGGAGTCGGGCATGCACCAAAAACAAGAGGGATCATACTTAGGGTCTAAGCAATTCATATGAAAATTTTTCAAGACGATTGATTAAGAATTGTGGCCTATAGGCGACACACAGACATAAAAAGAAAAGAAAATGGGCGTGGCTCTGCCCCTGGGGGTCGGGAATGCACCCCAAACGATAGGGATGTTCATTAGGGTACAAAGAATAAGTATGCATAGTTTCAAGATGATACGTTAAGAAATGTGGCCTGTAGACGACAAACAAACAAATACAAAAAATGGGCGTGGATCTGCCCCTGGGGGTCGGGCATGCACCAAAAACAATAGGGGTCATCCTTAGGGTATAAGAAATAAGTATGTTAAGTTTGAAGATGATCACTTAAGAATTGTGGCCTGTAGGCGACACACATACACACACACACCCTGACAGGGGCGACGGCAATATACGTCCACATTATGAATGTGGACGTATAAAAAGCATAATCCATGACGTCCCTGTGACGTCATAACGTCATACGTCCAACAATTGGCATAAATCCAATATGGCTGCCGTTGGAACCTTAAAACTCCAATATATCGGGAATGGTTGAGTTAAACGATGTCTAAAAACTCGTTTTTTACCCAAACTTTTGAACTATAATTTAAATGCTTCACTTTCCATTTGTATATTGTAACTTGACTATTCCTTTGTATTCTTTTGTTTATTTGTATATACATGTATGTTTTTTTATAATCATATCTACGTTGCAAAGCATCACAGAGCAGTCAGACTGACTGATGTTCAGCGCTATGGAAAACGATTATTATGATTATTATGTTTGGTAAAAGCGGCGAGACCCCAAGCAATTTTAGACCTATTTCATTCAGCGTTCGCGATACAGCTACATCATATTTATGGAACAGGATTTCTGATCGGTACTTTAAATGCATACGGCTTCTGTACCTCTTATTTAAAATTAAAGCAGCAACGATGTAGTAATACCGGACTTCCTTGTTGTGTTTCCTTTGTGATCGTAAAATAAAACTACAGGTTAGTTCGTTTCTACAGCTTTACTATTAAACTGCTTGCAAGGCTTCTATGTTCCACGTTCTCAATAAAGCATTGCACTATAAATCTCAGAATGCCTCGTTCGTTATTGAAGAATCATGCATCCAACCTTGTGAACAGCCTCGTTCTGGTCAAAATACCTCGTTCCAAAAACACGGCAATTTAAAAAATAAAATACGTTTTGGAACTCCAGACAAACGTGGCATTTTGTTTTTACCACGTTACAACGTGGCAAAATTTTATTAGCTCGTTTTTGCCACGTTTGGACAAAAATGCTGAACGAGGCATTCTGGGGTTTATAGTGTTGATAATAGCTGCTAGGAATATCAGGGTGAGTTCTGCTCAATTTCACTGAACACCCTCTTGTATAACCCCCTAATTTCTGCACGTCATAGACTGACCTAGGCGTTCATTACCTCCCCAAATATGGAATAAGCACCCCCATTCTTCCCAAACCAGGGGGAGAACATTACCTTATTTGGTCCATCAACCACATGTCATAAACAGACAGAGACACGTGGGCAGAAGCTCCAGAACTAGACTTGCCAAGTTTGTTAACTAATTCACCCGATGCCAACTCAAAGACTGAAATTCATAGTCAACGATTCGCATAAAATATTCCTGTTAAAACCTTTACAAACTGATGAAATATGTGAATTGTTTGACAATATGATACAAGTAATACATTTTCACCCTCTAAACTCAACCATCCGCGAGAAACTTGATGTTTATGGTTCCAATGGCGGCCATATTGGATTTATACTAATTATTGGACGTATGACGTTACGACGTCACGGTGACGTAATTTGGCAATGTTTTTCCGATTCTTTGGTAGCACTTTCCTATCTACCAGTAATACATTTATACCCTCCAAACTCAACCATTCCCGAGATATTGGAGTTTTAAGGTGCTAATGGCGGCCATATTGGATTTATGCTAATTGTTGACCATATGACGTTATGACGTCACAAGGAAGTCACCTGGCATCGTTTTTCTAGTTCTTTGGTAGCACTTTCCTATCGACTCGTAATACATTTACATCCTCCAAACTCAACCATTCCCGAGATATTGGAGTTTTAAGTTTCAATGGCGGCCATATTGGATTTATGCAAATTGTTGGTCGTATGACGGTATGACGTAACAGGGGCGTCATTTGGCTTTGTTTTTCTGTGCCATCTGTACCACTTACCTATCTACCCGTAATACATTTACACCCTCCAAACTCAACCATTCCCGAGATATTGGAGTTTTAAGGTGCCAATGGCGGTCATATTGGATTTATGCTAATTACTCGAAAACCTATCTTTTTATTTTGGGCGATTTTTGTTTGGGAGATCTTCAGGGATCCCTCTACCAGATTCCTTCGAGAAAAATTCTGTTGCAACTTGTTCTACGTATCCACTCTATATGGCTTATCTTTGCCCGACTAAGTATGCTCATTGAAACGTTGCAGTTAATGAACCTAGTGAATGTTATCCATAAAGTTGTCAGTTTATTTTCATGCATGTTGGTTTAACTATAACAGAATTGCCCGTGATAGAACAGATCAAAGAATAAAATTGCACGTAGCCACTTTATCTTCAGATGTTCAGACTAACTGGCGCCTCAAATAACCCAACGTTAAAAGAAAGCATGCAGTGTCCACCTTACAACAGGTTCCATTGATTTACGATTTATTTTATGATTTATCACACAGTTTAGACCAAAATGTGTTACGATTCGCATTTTGGTATTCTAAATTGCTTCTTATTCGGAATTCGTTTATTTGGAGTTGTTTAGTACCATTTCGTGTACGGAAATTAAATCAACGATTAGTTTTAAAATTAATTATGGTTTCGAAATAATATCAATCTAATTTGTCATTGCACACCATATGATTGGCGTATGCCCAGTCGGAGAAGAACAGTAGGTCGTTAAACCCCATATTCATTTCATTTTGCCAAATTACATTTTTCATTTTAGATTCAAGTGTTTTTGTGTTCAAAACGTCCGTCAAATGGCTCAAGTCAAAATGTGATTTTCATTTAATAATGTGATTTCGTGTAATAAAAATTACTTAGTTGCAATTACCAAACTTGTAGTCCAATACGTACTGATAAACAAGATCACTTCAAAAAATTAAGAGTAGTTTAGTTAATTGTAGAAAATTCTGCTGTGATGGCTATTCTGACGAAAAGTTCTGTTGTGATGGCTATACGGACGAAAAATTCTGC